GCGAAATCTTATCCATGACATTGCAAATACTTTCAATGATCACTAGTTAATTGCATAACTATCCAATAGTAGAGACCCTAATAAAGGAGACTTATATCCGACTTCACACTGGTAAAGGGACCATGTTTTTTAGTCTACGTAAACCATTGATGGGATCACTACACCGGGCTATTTTTACTGTACATCTATTCAAAAATAAACGAACTATATCGAGACTGACAGTATGCCCAAATTTGTACTACTGTTTCCGTCCAAATCGGTCGTCAAATAATCAGTATTAAGACCAGTCAATCCGCCAAATCTGATAGTAATCAAAGAACATTTAAAAGTAGGTAATATAATTAATGAATCAGACCATTGGTAATTCCATTATTATTGATGTAAACTGATGCTAGTTTCTCGAACTCATTTCGAAACGACTTGAATTATTCGACATGGTTGGTAAAATTTGACATAACTTTCATTGATTTCTTTCCATTCTATTATTTGAATTATTACAGATACGCATTATATAAAAACAGTTGCGATAATTCAATAATATTTCAATCACAATAGTTAACCAATAAACATTAGTTGCAGTGAATCTACGTCAAATTCGTCTATCCGTTGTCTTGCAGATATACTGTGCCAGTATAGATGCAAAAATCAATCGAATACTTTGATGATAACTTAGGATTACGTACAGCATACGGAATCCAAGCAAACTATCGACTTTACCGCTAAGGACATTACAAGTCAATCTGCAAATGAACAAAAAATACAAACAAGCTTTTTAATAGAACTAAATCTTAACTTTCGTCGCTAATGTCAATCTCCAAACAGTTACGGACAACGTTATTCGTATTATAACAATGGCTATATTGGATATATTGTTACGATGCAAATACAATTAATCACATTGTTATTTATTACTTGTGCAACTCAACCCCAACCCCCTAGCAACAGTGTCTGGGATCTAAATGGTAGCCTTTTGGGAAATCCTTATACAATGATTAATTATTTAAGTCAAGTCCCAAACCTAATGCACGTAATTTGACGCCTCTACTTACATTTCTATTATCCAATACTACACTAGTCGATAATACTCAACACCGATATCATCGACATCCCTATAAAATTGCTAAATCTTGTAGATAAAGATATGACTGGCAAGCAGACAAACTTTGCCAAGTCTAAGATATAACGATTGAGTTACAAATTAAAATTAAAACTATCACACAGCCAAGTTGATTATTATTTTTTAACGTTCTTCATAATGCTAATACTACAGTACCATTGTACGCACAATAGTAGAGGTAAAAGAAAACAGCTCAATGTATATAAATTGCGTCAAAAATCGACTATGGAAATTAAGCACAGTTACGACAAGTATGAATTTTTTGTTATTATTTTAATCTTATTTAATACAAGACAATAGGGATACGTAATAAGGCATATAGCTACTGCTAATTAATTATAGGATAACGAGATCAATTGTCAAAATATCTAGTTAGGTTAAGTACATGTACGACATACTCGTACGATAGACGCTAAAAATAGCCTTGCCACAAAGTTATAAATTCTCGACTTGACGTTGTATTCCCAGTTGTAAAGAACGCATGCAAGGTCTATCCAATTGATTGAAAAGATCGCAATGTTTTATGCGTCGTAATTTTATCACAATCACGACATTCAACAGGTTAGTTAGTTAATCTTGACAATTTATATAGCCATATTAACGCTACTAGATTAGAAATTTCATCATGATATACAGAATTAGTAGTGACCATCAAATGCTAGACCAGACTGCTATTAAATTCGAACTAATAGTTAGAAATAGAGTTGCTTGTACTAGTTACCATACCTCAAAATAAAAGCAGTGCTGTATTGAATGTTTCTGTCACACCCATTTAATATGGCCCTTCACATTACGTATACGCTAGTACATCAAACGGGAAAATTGTTCCTGATCTGCTTATCAGACTTTAAAACGACGATAGTAAATATCTTCTTTATTAGAGCTATAATAGCAAAAGAAATAGCTATGATTAAAAGTATGAAATTACGAAATGATTACTAGGGCTAGACAACATAAACGATCGTACTATAATCACTAAGACACGCTCTATCCATTCTTTTCCATTCATTCGCTTTTATGGGACATTTTTTGTGGATCATTTTTTTTTAATGGATAGAACATTTTTAACCGAATAGCGCCACTTTATAAGCACTCAAATCCGTTTTGTCTATTCTACTAATTAAAAAACTACACCGTACAAATATTATTTAATAACATTCGTACTGATGAACTTACTTCTCTACTTTAAACAGCAGGAAGCTTTCCTATTCATTGATTAAAATTACTAAATCTGCCAAAACTTGACTACAAAACGTAAAAAAAATCAATCAATGTAGCATTCATCAATCCATATCTTGCATAAATATCATCGCAATGCGATGCTTCATGGTTTAAACTCGGTAAATTTTTTTATTATTAGCATAAAATATGAAATGATAAGCATGGCAAAACGTGCCGTACCGACTGTGAATACATTCATTTTACGTACTTTAGTTTGACGATGAAGCATTACTAAGGTAGTATGACAGCAAAGCACAAGTTAATCAACCGGTCTATGGGAAGAAAAAATTGTAATAGCATATTCACGATCATTTTATTTGATTTAATAACTCCACGATGTTGTAGAAAAATTAATAGTGGAAAGAATATATTAAGCAAGGATAATTTTAAGATCGTATGAATGTCATTTATGAAAATGATTGCCACTATGATTACAGAAGAATTAGAGTTCTATTCTTTTTTGATTCGCTCCATGAGACGAGTGCATTTAATGACAAATCAAAGCATGACGTTCTATTATAATTACTATACCCGTACTTTAAAGATAATTTACTCGGTTCCGTTGAGTTAGTCTACTCCGTACAATTCTCTCAGTAAAATTGAGATTCCTCACCAGTAACTTTTAACTTAATAACCAGTTCGTAACGAAAATGTAGGCGATCTATGTATTCATTTAATCTTTTAATTTATTATTCTAAAGCAATCTGTGGACTATAAATGCATTAGACGCTTATATATTTTTGTTAATTCTACAGTAATAGATCAAGAAAATCAAGCGCACAATCCTGTTTTTGATACTATGACTGAAAAATCCAACTATAGAAAGGAAAGTATACTTACTGGCCCCCAAGTAAACCATTCATTGCCATGCTGCGATCTCAGCAGATGTAGCAAACAGTGAGTATATTTAGGATAAAATTTAAATAAATCAATTTAATTTAAACTAAGCCTCTCACCAATTTCAAGCTTTAGAACTATGTACGTATAACATGTGTAGGATATCACCATGTTATAGTTAACAAATCTTGAATACTTTTTAAATGAAATTTATAGCGGTACGGTATCTACTTTCAAGAAAATATTGCTATTCGATGCTGAGCTGGACATCTAGTGAGGGTCTTTACTATTACTGCTACGATTTAATTAATCCTGATAGCAGAACGAAATAGGTTATAGATATACATAAGGCTTAACTAATTACATTGCGTCCTTCCTGTTTATTGTCGAAGATAATGGAGTAGAAAAGTTTACCATGGAATAATTCACTACCGATATCTTAATGAGTACCCCCATTAACTCGGATAATCTCTATCTTCGTAGTGACGGTTTCTCTAATCTGCTATTAGTCAATATAGCTTATAAATTGACTCGATTCATTAATTAATGTATTTATTGACTAGTAGTTGATACCTACTCGTATTTATCTGTGAATCACAAGTCTTTTACGCGTTTCTTAAGAATTAATGAAAACCTCTATTAAACTGTTACTGTAGAGCAAACAAATAGCAAACCTTTCCACATAACACGTAAATACATAATCTGACTACAAGGATATAGATGAATGAGTTCCACTATATTGAAATATAAATTAAACAATTCACGATATACTTTGTTCATTGATACATCGGTTTTTATTAATACGATAATAAAGTTAATTTTAACTCTTTGAATTAACTACCGAAGATATTATTCGGATAGCCACTAGCTTCTAAAGTACCATACATAATTTACGATCGATAGAAACTATTCCCGCAATAAGTCAATCGACGTTAATGATTATTCAACCGAACGCTATCCTAGACGAGAAATTGTTGACATACAGTTGTTAAATGCTTTAATTAAACAGTAATACTCATTTAGGTTCCTAGACGAGAAATTATCAACATATACTTGTTGTATACCTGAAAACGGCAACTACTTATTTAGGCTATTTTGATTTTCAAAGACTGCTCTTCTCTGTCCATTTCAGAGTTTATTGTTACAATATAATAGAGTTATGAAGCAATATCTATGTTCGATTTGATTCCCAGTTAATTTCCCTTATCGAAGTAGCACATGCAATCAGTCACGTAGACAAATTAAATTGTATAAGTAGCATTCACGTCGTCGAAGAAAATTTTACGGACCATCGAATACAACCAAATTGTAAATATTAATTTAATACAAGGGATAAAAGGTGCTACACCGGCTACATCAATCACGATCGCGTAATGCCTAGACTAGCACTAGTATCATCACTTGTATCGTTTCTTTAATTTTAATAAAATAAGTAACTATTATGCATTACTAGCATACCAGGCGGAGCTTTATTTTCTTTTTCATAACTAGTATAATAACAAATAGCAAATAATAATGACCTTACACTACTATTATTATGCGCTATGTTATACTTTGAGCGACAGACGTTTATGATTAATGAATGGCGGGAGTGGTCAATAGGCTACTGCATTAATGTAATGTTTATCATGATTACTAAATTAAATGAGATCTGGCTAAGGGATATTACAGTATTACTGTATGTACTTGCCTTTACTTTAAGCGCTTTATATGTACGAAATGGTCATCATAGCTTACCGAGTTATACCCAAAGGGCACATTCAATTAAATATAAAACAAGTTAAGCCCTCTCCTACAATCTGTACGACAGTTCTATTCGCACCAAATGCCTATTTATTTCATCCAAAGGTATAGTTCAAATATAAAAAAACTATGGGAAAAGAACTTTATAATGCGCGCTTAACAAATGATGAAAATATCAAGATAATAAGATAATAGTTCAACTAATGATTTAACATAGCTCTACGCTTTGGATTATTAACTATGCGCGTACATATACATATGAGTATGCATGCTACGTCATTAGTCGTTAAATAATTCACAAAGGTTATTTCAAAGTTTTACATCACGCTCTACTTCAAACAGCACACATTTTAATCAAAGTATAGTAAGAAAATTATAACTACTTACCGTAAATCGGTACCAGAATTCATTCGGTCAGAAATCTTAAGACTTCAAATTAAATTTAGGTTAAGGTGAATCTTTAAACCGCAATTAGCTCTCCTCAGAATGCCATCATTACTCTACTTCTTGTACCTGTTTATTAGATTAATTCAATAAAAACAATTTGGAATAAATTGTAAATAAATATTTTCAATCTAATCAATATTTGTTTACGGAATAAAATCTGTCGTAAACTAATCAAACGTTAGATATAACAGTAAATTAGAGAGCACTTAATTACATTGGCATGTTTTTGTCTGAACGATTATAGTACGTGGTGCTGAAATATAACAAATTTATTTGATACTAACGATTAAGTATATGCCTCTCATCCTTTAGGGATATCCTTGAATATTTCGAGAATTCTTACTCGTTATACGAAACCCTATTTACGGCACTGAAGGGTAAATTTTGATCATTTTTGTCGAATTCTAATAATTATAATAGCTTTAAATATTTACTGAATTCGGTCCTTAAAATTGAATAACATTTAAAACTTCTTTGAGTATTCGATGATACTTTACATAATTAAGTGCATTAATCGATCATACATTGTTACCCAATTTTATGGCTGAATATCCTCGCGTGATCTATAATCGAATTAAAAAATTTTGTTTTAAAATTATAGATACCTCTGTTTTCTACAAAAGTCCTGATTATCTTAGATTACCATTAATATTCTATTATGGCCATACCGCGACACTTTACGTTAACAAACTCAAACTGGCCGGATTAATCAAGGTATGTGGCAGCCTCTGTTTTCTTATTTTTTTACTAATCCAAATTTTTCTCCTTTTTTATTAACTACTAACATTCCATATGACCTGTTATCCTAATAGGACCGCATCGATTTACATCTGGAAACTTTATTGGAGACTGGTGTCGATGAAATGTCTTGGGATGACACAGTAAGTCAGAGTTGCCAAGCTATTGGTGGATGATTATCTCGCTCATGAAATTTAATTTTTAAACATACTTCTTAAAACAAAAGTTTCTTGTTTTGTTTTACTATCTCGTACTGACATTATTTCTTTAGTATCTCTTATAAAAGAATTATACTAAAGAAGAATTTTACTCATAAATCAGGATACCTTTATTTCATATGAGTTTAAGTAATTTTCATGCTTAAATCGTATACAGTATCAGGTGTAGATCTTCGTCATCTCTACTTGGAGTAAATTATTCCTGATTGAAATGATGATGATATACGATCTGTATAAAGTAAACTTATCAATATATCATAGCAAATAATTTTAATGCATTGATATCGTGTTCACGACAAAGTAACTTTAACCAACGAGATACGATAATTTTATTTTTTCCTACAAGCATGAGTATGGTACTTTATGTGTAACACTAATATAAAAATTTCTAAAATGCTTATGAATAGAATATATTAACTGCGGTATACTTACTCCGTGGCTGCAGGATATTTTTAAACACTTCAACCAAAAATGTAGTCTTGAATAGAAATTTCTCTAATATTGATTAAAATATTTAACGGTTACTCTGGTTGGTTGGCTGATTTTGTTAATATACGTCTAATCCTATTACAGTGCAGCATTCTCTAAGAAAAATTCCTTTATTAATGTGTTACTTTAAAATAACTCATCTTTTAACTTATTATCAAGGAAAGCTATCGCTTCGGCGGTAAATTTCAATGGCCAACAGTTGAAGAAGTTTATGCATATCGTCTCCAACTTAGAAAGCTAATTCGCGAAGTTATTCGAAAAACACCTCTAGTGCTGCCAATAACTGAAGATAGCCCATGGGTAAGAGTAATAATGTTATGTAAAAATATTTCTTCATTTAAAATTTTCTGTTTACGATATACAGTAGTAACCTTTACCACTATACGATTTAAAAGGTCGCAAGTCTATTGAACCAATGATGATTTCTTTAAAGCAAGAACTATAAATGTATAAAATCTACAGTTAAAGTATAGGAGCTTTGTAAATAACTAGCTAAATTCTTTCTTCAAACTGAGTATTAAGACTAGCCATAGAGCATTGCCAAGGCACCTTAAAAACCTAGTACCCGTATAAAGATATTTTCGATATCATCATACGACATTTTACTATAGCTATGTTATAGCGATTATCAAAAAGAATTGAGCAAGATAATACTTCTCAAATACTAATAGTGTTACAAAATTAACTACAGTACTCTGTCAGTACAAGAAATTTTACTATCATACAGTTTGTAATTCTATTGCCTTCAATTCAAGATAGTGATTTAGTGCTGCTATTATAACGTCTTATGATAAAATTTCGTCGCAGTTTCAATTAAAATGGGTTATGCAAAAGGAAATTGTCAGTCTAGTGCTTACGTTTCGAATTTACATATCAGAATATTATGCCGTGTTATATGGATTAAAATTGATTTGTTAAACTAGCAGAATTCCAGTTATAAACTTATTGCATTAGATATACATTATAGCGATGCACCTAGTAGCGAGTATCGAATTATTCAATAAAGTCCTCATACATAACACCATAAATTATCCTTTCTGTTAATTTTTTATCGATAGAACCCGATGTAGGGTATCTATCTGTCAGTTCGTCTTAACATTTCGATACTCCTTATTCTAACTATGTCTTGGCTTGAATACAACAATCTATCAAAGTGGGCACTCTTTTTATCCATTGAACATGAAAGGTAGGATAATTTACAATAATTTCATTTTGACAAAAATCATTCATCTTTATCCTTACTGTAATTATCAACTCAAGTATTATGTATTATCGAAATATATCTACTACATTCCTCCTTGTTACGTAAGAAAATGTGTACATTATAAGAAAATTATAGCTTGATAATGCACCGAAATATACAAAGACGCAGTCTAAGTATCTTTCAATAATTTAGTCTGAAACAGATTTCTGCACTTTGATGTTATTTTTTAGGTTGCATTTTGAGACTTCTTCTGTGCTTTTCCGTCAATTGCCAGTAGATATGCTTGCTAAACCGAATGATTGGCACTATGCATCTTACCAAGCGAATGGTCAGCAACTACGATGATTTAAATTCAAATTTAATTTACTATATCAAGCCTTTCTAAATACAACTTGTATCGTGATATTGGTTTCATGTTATATAATTGCGTTATGTCCTTTCAAATGAAAATAGAAAACGCTGGTGATAATAATCTTATTGCCGTCGACCAGAAAGATGTTAGACTTGGAAGGCCAGATGCGTTCCCATCATTCGGCTGGGATAATGAATATGGTGAACTGGTATCTCAGTAAGTGTGGATATCTATAGAATTGGATCATTAGTAAAAAAATGCCATAGCAAAAAGTTCTGGTAACTAACTATCATTTGCTAATGCTAATCACTAGACTGTATTGTTTACTTGAGTAGATTAAAGCTAAAGATAGATAAATATCTTCACTAGTAAAATATAGAAATTACAATTAAGATATTTTTTCCATACAATATAATATCGTCTAAAGTATTCTATCGACTATCTGATTGTTCATTCGATTAGCATACTCGTACATGGAATGACTTTATTGCTTGTAAATTATGCTATTAGTGTTTCACCTTTTCAAGCCACTAAATATCCAATTACCAACGGCGAATACTTGAAGTTTGTTAAGGACGGCGGATACGAAAGGAGAGAATTTTGGTCGAACGAAGGTATAGTCGTATTCTCGATACGGTATTGAATGAAATATAAGTAATAATATTTAAATCAGTTTCAAAAGAGGTAAATTATATGCATTGTCTACAATCATATTGAGATAAATATATATTGAAATGTAACCTAATTAGGGTGGAATTGGAAAATATTTCGCAAGGCACATCATCCAGTCTTTTGGATTTGTGATAAAGGTAACCTTAAACATACGACACGTATAAAAGAGTATAAAAATCTACATTTAACCGGTGATGCTTCGTTATAATCTTGTCCGATCGTAGTAACAGTCTTAAATTTTATTAATATCAGTGAAAACTAAAATCTTTTATTATACTAACTTCAATTAATAAATTAGGCTGCAAATTGGGTTGTGGTGGAAATCTTAGTGAATATTCCCATTGTCAGCCACGTTTTTTCGATAATGATTTCAATTATCATAATCAAGAAGACCTGACATCCAAATTCAAGTATATAAAATTTTAAATATCTATGATGCCTCGTTCTTTAGCTACTGATGTGGCAACGAATTTTGGCATTTATATTAGATATGTGCGTTAGCAATTTTGTCAAATGCAGTAGAAGTGTTCTATATGCATCTACCATAGAATTTAGTTACCCGATATAAGATGAATATTTATCATTATGATATAGCTGCGCTAGCGTAATCATGTGCAATTTATTAATCTCTATAAAGGCTATTAAATTAAGAGCATAGTAATCACAATCATTTCTATCTTTTTAAAGATATCGTACGACTTTTGATGTCATTACTATGCCGATGGAATGGCCTGTTGAAGTCAACTATCACGAAGCAAAAGCATATTGTACCTGGTTAGGTAAAGACTATCGACTACCAAGTGAAGCTGAATATCATAGAATGCTAGATCAAAATGTACGTGATGAATTCTTAGGACCATTGATTTTACTATGCACATAGCAGACGTAATCTATTAGGCAGTCCTTTAACAATACTGATTATTATGATAATGTGATGCATGAGTACTAAGGCACTCTCTGAAATCTAAAAGTCGATCGCTTATATAACTGTAGCTATTTTAATAGATGTAAAACCTTCAGCTTTAAAACATCTGGGTAGATGAATTCAAAATTGCTTTATTACGCATCTTTACATTTCATTTTTATTTCATGACTATTTACAGCATCACAATTTATATTATCATGCGATTAAATGCATAGTATTTAATTTTAGTTACCTCCAAATCCCTCCGTAGCTTGTGATGTAGCCTTCGATAAAGTCCCAGATTGGAATTTAAATTTTCAGTATTGCAGTTCAACGGTACGCAATATAGATATTTGCTGCTATAATCAGATAAGCAATACCGATATTTGATTACGTTTATGACTGCCACTTCTACTCTGCCCTTGTAGCCAGTTAATTTATATCCTCCAACTGTGACCGGATTTTACGATATTATGGGTAACGTATGGGAATGGACGGAAGATCATTATAACGGGCTTCCTGGATTTCGTACTCATCCGTATTATGATGATTTCTCAAGCAACGCGTTTGATGGAAGGCATAACTTAATGATGGTTAGTTTACAGCCTTTTCCTACTAATTTTTATACACTTATATTACGTAGAATACTTGTAATAATATTATTTTTTGAACATTGCAGTTCGGTTCTTGGGCAACTACTGGTGAATCGGCCTCTCAATTTTTTCGACTAGCTTTTAGGAGACATTTCTTTCAACATGCCGGGTTCCGAGTAGTAAAAAGCAATCCTCGAACGCTCCCTCCTATTGTATTACTTGATACAGAGATTAGCCAGCAATGCCACGGTAATATATCGGTCTACTTATGCTATTTATTTTATAGCTGCAAATATTCATAATAATAATATGAACAGAATAACAGTACTTTATTATATTATACAGTAGTTGAATAGTTATCATAAATTGCCCGTAGGATATTTATAAATTGTAGAGGCATATGTGGGCGATATAGAAGTAAAGCATTTCATGAAAATGGTAATATAATTAAGTAGTGATTCTTCAAAATTTATCTTGATAGCTGCTGCAATGGTTGATAATGCAAATTCAAAATATCATGACAATATCTTATATCGATAATTTCTAGAGGAATATACCAAATACTACTCTGACAACCGTATTGAAATTTGCGGGCAAATTAGCTCTAATGTTCAATTTAAGTTCGAAACCGATCAAATGTTATATGATATGCTTCGGTTTCAATATTCCGATACTGATGTAAGAGAACATATATTAGAGTTATAGGACTGATATCATATTGCACTATTTAATTTCACTGTAATACAATTCAATCCTATAAACCCCCTTATATAACTCTTCTTTTGTATAGAACATTCACAGTCTTTACGGTGTAATGACCGAGATATTAGTTGAAAAGATGTTGCTCATACCTAAAACGTATGGCATAGCTACAGATTCTGCATTAGTAATTGGTTGTGGCACTGGAAGGCTAGCTTTTGAATTAAGTACAATATATCGAAAGGTAAATACAAAATTGGTATCGTTGAAACGAAACCAATTAAACTTGCAAGACAGTTAGTGTTTAATAATTCATTTATTTTTAAACTGTATGTTCTTGATAGGTCTTGGGGCTTGACTATTGTGGAAAATTTATCAGTGCTTGTCTGAATATTGCAAAGAAAGGATCGGCAAATTTTGATTTTGCAGGCTTAAATGACTCACTGACAATTAGCATAGACTCGAATATTAACCTTGATCGAGTAGCATTTAAGCAGGTAGAATTAGGTTATTAAGCTGACTAATACTGTCTAGATTTAATTTAATAGGTCTTTATGTGGTAGCTGTTTTTTACGTTAAGCAATTAGTACCATTCTTTTTTGATTTCAATAAAGAAACATTGCGTTCTCTATTATAATAGTGTATCTTTTTAGTCATAACTATTTAATAATTAAGAATTGAATCACTACTCGAAACTTTTAATAGAAGGAGTAATATAGATAGACATAATGATTTGAGATTTATTCATTTTGACACCTGTATTTGTCGGCACTAATTCAATTAATTACGACGTCATAGCATATACCGTGCTTTACTATGTTCGATACCAGCCATTTTACAAATTACTTCGATATAGCCAAACTCAGTATCGAAGACATAGATTTTTCACACCCTTAGAAAATACTGAATTTTACTGAAATTTATTACTGAGATCATACCGTTATAAATTAATCACATGTTAATTATAGATTATATGGAACATAGATTTATAGTCAATATCTTCTTTATCATCTATACTAAACAGTAATCTTTGCAATTCAATTTTAAAGTTAAGTTGGCTACCTAACGAAGTTGGGAATCACGACCTTGTTCTTTTAACCTGTTTGGATCGAGTAAACAACAGAAAAAGTAAGAAATTACATTTAAATCTAGAATATTTTACGAACTCTGACAAACACATACTTATTATTGTAGCTTTTTATATTTGTTGTCTTTAGAAATGCATAACTATTAGTTTAAGTTTTTTTAAATTTTTCAAGTATTTTATTATAACAAAGTACTGTCGTATGTTTATGTACGTAAAAGCATATTTTTCCTTGCGATTTATACAAATGCTTATCAATGCGGCACGCTATTAGAATAAAATTATAGATAGTAAATTAGATAAAATTGATTTTGTCATATTAATGGCTGTATGATTTAGTGAGAATAAAATCAGAATGTAGGGGTAACAGATGGACCTTTTAACGCTAAAATACAATTAATTTTGTCGTACTGTATAGGCTGGTTGATTCGATTGAACGAAATAGTAAAGGATGATGGAATTGTGGTTATCAATATTTCAGACGTAAATTCTGAACAGTTAATGGATAGCATGAAAGATGAGTAAGTATACCGATTAAGAACGAAGATAATAAATAAAATTGTCTGCTTCGGTGAAGATCTCTTCTGATAACAAGCGTACAGTTTAAATAGTTGATATTCGCTTTGTGTATGTAGCAAGAAGTTAAAACCATTGTAATCATCAATAGGTGTTATTTTTTATAACTTATATGTTGGCATTGGATGTTTTAGGTTCGATTTGCTGGCTTGCGTTAATCTTATCGATAACAAAAAGATAGCCAACGGTAATAGCATTGCGTTATCGAATCCATTATTGGGAAATTATATAACCATCTGGAAGAAAGTTCCGATCTCATAATCTATGTAATAGTTAAGATAGAGTATTACTGAAGCTACACCATGGGACACCGACAGTTTATGCTATGGTTATTCACTTTATGACTCATTTCAGATTTAATAATTCGGTAATAAAATGCCAGGCTATTATAGTAGGGAGGTTAGATTATCATACCGGTTTATACCCGGTATGGCATAAAAGTGTACGTTATCATGGATATTTATTTGCAATAAATACTCTTATAATTAATTATTTTTATTTAATGCCTTCCATTCTATCAGCTAGATAATATTCTATCGATAATAAATATTTTCATGCTATACTGATATTGTGCCAACCGAATCATCATATTTATTTCATTGTTAACATCTCATCTTAATAATCACGATCGGAATTCAAGTAAGTTAGTGTCCATATTCGTGAAAGAGCTTAGCTTTGCTATTTTATTACATCGTATCTATTAGCAATCATAATTATAATTAACTATTTTACATATTGGCTGTTGCATCTTTGCTTATTAATTGTAATTTTGCAACGTATATTTTTAATAAATGGATTTACCATTTGAAAATATGATGATAATTTAAATTTTACAGACGTGGTCAAGGACAAATTACCCTTATAGTGCTACACTATAGCTCTTAACGCATATTCTTGTATGTACTATAGTTATATAATGCATAAAATGATTGCTTAAGATGATGGCGATGGCTTGATATAATCTGAATATATACATGCTATAAAGTTGTACAAACGATATTCGAATCCTTCTCAATTTACCTATCCGCGGGAGGCTATTAAATAGTATGGTTTTAAGCGATAACTAGCCAAGTGTAATCGGTTAGTTTAATAATATCGATAAAATATCAAATTAGGTTTTATAAAGTGTTAGCGATTGGTACTGTTATGTTTATAGTTTTAAATCTGCTATAAAATAGAATTAATCTATCAAACTGCTTAATTTATCGGTAAAACTAACTGGTTCGACAGGTCATCGTTGTAGAACTTATAGTATTACTAGGGTTAACAATGCTAAATTACGTATGGAAATGTTGTAGTGATCTTCATCGGCGCTTAGCTCAAAAAAGCGTCAATTGTTGCACAATAATAATATTATGAGTTATGATTTAAGGATATGGAAGTGTCATAATTTAATACCTAGCCGCAAGGTATCAGAAATGTTGTCATAATTCAAGTTTTTCAATAAAAGTCATGACAAAAATTCATTCTATTTTATTAAAAATTAATCATATCAATATTATATAATGCCCAATGATCATGATTATTTTAAGAGGTAAGAAATATTATATTCATTATTCCATCTTAACTTTAAGGTTTACTTCCGTTATAAATTCTTGATATCATGTAACTAAGAATTGAGGTGTAATTACAAGAAATAAAAACTTTAGCTTTGTAAATGTTTTCTTGTAATATTTTATAAAAGGTAAACCAATTTCTTTGAATTGAAGTACAATAAAATGGGGCGATAATATTATTATTCGATTAAGATAAGTTTTATTTTTACGAAAATCTAAATACACGAAGATTTACAAGTAAAATTGATTTGTCTGAAACCATATTGCAAAATATTTTCTTCATAATTGATGACGTAAACGGAGAAGAATATTATTGTCAGGAATGAAAATTAAATTAAATAAACCAACTGTTTTAGCAGACTGTTGCGTTTTTGTTTTCTGCTTTACAAGATACCTATTTAGTAGTATTACATAAATATTTCAGATCTTTTAATACATAGTTAAATACTTTGTGAATATTAATAAGATATTTACGCTTTTTAAGTCCCCTAACATTTCATGTTAGTATAGTAACATGTTCATATAGCTTGCCTATTCAGTTGGTAGTTTAACTATTTATATTAGAAAGACAGATATTTCCTGCAGGAAAATTGTCCAAAAACAACCAATACTAGAATCAAGCGATCGTTTTAAGAGATTAATCATCTTAATTTATGCTTCCATCTTAGCGTGTAACCCAATATGATGATCAATTGCTTTATCGGTATCATTACTTTTCTTACTACTTATGGATCAGCAACAATTCTTTCAGATCCTTATACCACAGTAGGTAAGTTGAATGGCGATTTATCTTTGGGTGGTCTGGTGCCAATTCATAATAGCTATGATGCTGCGACAGAGAAATGTAAAAATTTAGATATAACTAATATTATGAGAGTACAATCTATGATTTATGCGATTCATTCTATTAATCAGAATCCAGCGATATTACCAAATATTACTCTTGGATATGAAATTCGTGATACTTGCGTTAGTCGTACTGTAGCTCTACGCCAATCAATTAATTATTTTTACGACGATCGAAGTGAAAGATCATCTAACTGTAATACTGCAGATACTCCATCATCGAGTGATTCGTACCAAAATTGTACTAGTGATGTATGCGGCAATGGTACCGACAGTAGTACGGAGATAAAAACAGATAGCCAAGGCAATAATAACGTTAATCGTGATAAAATTATCTCTGTTATTGGTCCACTGTATAGTTCTGAAGCGTTTATTGTTGGTACATTGCTGTCGAATTTACATGTTCCTGTAGTGAGTCCTTTGGCAACAAGTTCCCTTCTAAGTGATAAGACCGAATTTACCACATTTTTTAGAACAGTACCATCTAACAGTTTTCAGGGCCGTGCAGTGACCGCTGTTATCCATTACTTTGGTTGGAATTACACCGCGGTTTTGTGGGAGGATGATGATTATGGTAATAGTTTAGTGGAAGAGTTTCAAAGATCTGCCAAGGAAAAGAATGTATGTATTTCAAAAGTGATACTTTTTCCAAAGCGTCCAACTGCAAGCCAACTTCAAAGTATAATTAAAGAACTAAGAGCATTAAAAGTGACGGTTGTATTCATAGCGAGCAATGCTAAAATGGCTCATGAATATTTTATTCAAGCGACTATAGCCAATTTTACCGGTATTACTTATATTGCGCCAATATCATGGAGTCAATCATCGTCTATAATCTCGGAAATTGATTCTGATATTATCGGTGGTACTATTGGACTTACATTGGGTTCAAGCAAACAATACCAATTTGAGTCTTATATTAAAAGTTTAACAGCATGTAACAATTCCGGAAATCCTTGGTTTCAAACTTACTTTCGATCCAATGTAGCTAAAGGCGATATACCAGTGAATGCATGTATTCCAGTATCGGCCTGGAATGATAGCAGTAAAATTACTAATTCGCAGACGATAACATCAGCTTTCATATTTAATGCAATATATGCAGTAGCTCACGCCTTACATGATATGCTGAAATGTAATCGCGACCACTGCCAATCTTTGCCTGAAGAGAAATTTGATACTAAGAAATTAGTTGCATATCTATTTAATGTATCGTTTGTAGATGCATCTAGAGAAAATTTCTCCTTTAACCAGAATGGCGATCCAGTTCATATTCGCTACAATATTGTTAACTTACAACCTAATGGTAAGAATGTTGTTTCAAAAACAATCGGAGCATGGCTTACAACCGGTCAAGCCATTATAAACGACAGCGTAATAGTGTGGAATAAGGCTCGTTTACATTCAGGTGTTCCGATTTCTGCTTGTTCAAGTGACTGTCCACCAGGAACATATCGTGATAGTTTTTCGAATGATAAATGCTGTTGGAAGTGCATATCTTGCTATATTAGTTCAATATCGAATAGAACTAACGCAGAGCAATGTCATGTGTGCCCATATGGTTATCTTCCGAATAGTAATCATACTTCATGTGTGAAGGCAGTTCCAGTAACGATCGATATAGGAGGCTTGCTATCAATAACGTTGATGGTTATATTAGCTATATGTGGCTCTATAGTAATATCATTTTGGATCATTACTATCTTACATAGGCATCATCAAGTAATATTTTCATCAAACTCCATTTTAATTCATATGAGCTATATTGTATTATTATATATGCTGGCATCATCCTATGTATTCTTACTACCACGTAACCGTCAATTCTGTATGGTAACCATTGTCACGTATACAACCTCAGCAACTTTGTTAACAGCGATTGGTTTATCAATGACAAGTGCTGTTGTAGCTTTATTTTCAGAAGTCATGGCATCTTGTCGCTATAGTGAGCACTTTAAAACTAAAGGACAACCATTGCTAGTTATTCTTTTACTCTGCATTCAAATAGTTATCGTCCTGTTATGGTTAATTTTATCTCCTATTGCGACATATATGAGGATAGATTTCAATTATAAAATTTATGAAATGTGCCATTTTCAAAGTCTTGTTGGCCCTATTGTTAGCTTAAGTTATATTGGAATATTAAACGTTATTTATTTAGGTTTAGCTATAAAAGGGCGCCATTGTCCAGATAATTTTGCAGATGCTAAATACTTGTGCGTTGCATGTTGTATTAATATGTGTATATTTACATTTATGGTATTGACCTATTTTATTACATTTGGCCCATGGCAAGCAGGCATATCTTCTTTTAGCTTAGTTGCTTGTGCAATGTCGTTTCTTCTTTGCGTCATGGCACCTAAGATAAATATTATGTTATCTTTTCCGCAATTGACAATAACCGTTAAGTAACTTTCTATGATCCAATTAGCTTCATTAGAGACATTTTATTAAGCGCTTCATCCCATTAAATTATCCGAGAAATGAAATTGAAAGTCATTTGCGCGAACATCCATGCATTGTGGGTACGGAGAATGAAACAAAAGCGAGCACTACAATATCTATTGGTGCTGATTTCAAGTAGCAATTAGCTCATCGTGATGAGCTAATTATTTCTTGCTATTGTAATTGGCAGTTGTAATGGAAAACAAGTCACTATTTTATCGTCGATGATAGATATATTATAGGTATGTCATGTGCAATGCATTATAGTAATAATTAGTACAGTAGTTAAAATTACACCGTTTCTTGGTCAAGTTTAAGTTATGTATGTATGTATGACCAGTTTACCACAAAACAACTTGCATACCAAGCTAGCTTGAATTAGCAATTTTATGTGTTTGTACAAGCATGTACGAGCTTTTATCATGACATACGAGATACTTGTATGCCGTAGGCTCCAAAGCGCAAATGTGGTAATATTGAACTACCATCTCGCAAACATTCAATAAAAAGTTTTATCATTGCATTTTGATGATTCGACCAAAGTGAACTCGTTTTATTGGAGGACAGCACATGTAGCATGCGTGAAGGCTTTGTAATGTCCTATTTTAGTGAATTGATGAAATTTCTAGTTTAGATAGTCGCTTATGACGATAAATCTTTTCAAATTTGGTATATGTGTACGCATAGAAGTACGAGCAACTGTATATAGAGAGGTGTCATCGTATGAGACAGGTATCCTCCTACCTAACTATACAATGCCATCTCAGTAAAGCATATGTGTAAACCTTTCGATATCCTAATGCAGTAGATGTAAGTACATTCTCACTTGCATTAGGAAAAACTTGCCTCGACAGTGTTGATTTAAGGTATCCTACCTAACTATACGATGCTATCTTAGCAAAGTACATGTGTAAACCTTTCGACATCCTGACGTTAGCACATTCTATGTCGTCGTGCTTTAGCATGATAATGCAGTAGATGTAAGTACATTCTCACGTGCATTAGGAAAACTTGCCTCGACAGTGTTGATTTAAGGTATCCTACTGTCACACACCACTAGTGACAAAGTAGTCTACACACGCCAATCCTTGCGTAGAATGCCACTTACTAACTTAAAGAGGCGAGATTAGCTATATCACCAAATAATTCAGTTCCAACAACCGAATACTATGGTATAATTATAGCGTCACAGATGATGTAGACGAGATAGTCAGAGATTTACTATCATTTATTACTGAAGGAATCTTGGCACCCAAGATTATAGTCTTTACAATTAAATATCAATTGAAAAACTAGTTGACTATCTAACCGACTAACGAACTAAAAAGGAATCTTCATAATTAGGACGAGCTTACGCATCGTAACACCTACCTAACTATACGATGCTATCTCAGTAAAGTATATGTGTAAACCTTTCGATATCCTGACGTTAGCACATTCCATGTCGTCGTGCTTTAGCATGATAATGCAGTAGATGTAAGTACATTCTCACTTGCATTAGGAAAACTTGCCTCGACAGTGTTGATTTAAGGTATCTTACCTAACTATGCGATGCTATCTCAGCAAAGTATATGTGTAAACCTTTCGACATCCTGACGTTAGCACATTCCATGTCGTCGTGCTTTATAGGAAAACTTGCCTCCTCAACAGTATTGATTTAAGGTATAATAATAAAGAACTATTCCCAGCCAATATCGTAGCCGATCATTTTCTCTTCTACTACTCTCGGCTCAATCTACCACATGGCGTCAAAACGCTACAAGTGCTTTCCCCATTTTAGTTGGCTCAGAAAGGTGCTTTTCATGCATAAATATGTTGCTGTACATTACTGTACAGACAGGTTGCAGATATACAGTATGTCACAGGTGAAATGACCATTTCCCGACCGCCTCTTTCTTTTGAGTCTGTTTGAGTAGCACCTGTCGATACCATGCGGAATTGGAAACCCAAGGTCTTTTTCTGATTAATTAATTCATTGAACTAGTCGAAGCTGGTCGAACCGATACTCGTGATATATTATATTGTACCGTACCGTATGTTATACAGTACAGTATAGTGTACTGTCTCTCGAAGGGTCTCTAGTGTACACAACATATTCAGTCAGAAGCTTGTCAAAGAATATGTTTATTTATAGAAAGAAATAAGAGAAAATTTGAATTTTCTCTTACAAGTCGCTGGTTCAGTTTGCAGAAGTACTGCAATCATTTACTTCAGTCATGAAAGTTATTATCATTTGAATAGCATCATTTCGTTTGTCTACGTAGCTCTCAACTTTACTCTTTGCTAATTTCTTCTTCGACCGAAAGAAGTTGATCGATCAGCCAGCGTTACGGAGTCGTGTAGCTGCCTGTGTCCGGGTAATTGTCAGCTAATCAAAAGCTAATGATCGCTCTTGGGTCGATTACTGCTTACTTAAGGTCGATTGACACGATGAATTTTTTGAAGGGAACTCCCTCTATTCTTGGGGCTGGACTTGACTATCTTACTTTTATTTCTTTATTTATTTACTGCTAACAGTGGGTAACTCATACTATTTTACTTTGCTTTAAACCCATGGTTGACCATGAACTATTCAAAAATAGGTACTACAGAAGAAGCCCATGGCTTCCTTGCAGTACAGTGTACAGTACATACTGTACTATGTACAGTGTAGAGTACTGTAGGTTTTCTCCTGCTATTTCAGCGGGTCGATCGCTAATCGATAGTGTAGAAGTGTACAGTACTGCACATACCATACAGTATACTGTACTACACTGTACAGTACAGTACAATACGACACGATACTGGACGTAATTTTGGTACTGTACCCATGTCATGGGCATGACGTAGGTCACTCTCTCAGGATCTCTACTGGGTACATTTATTTATTTACTTATTTATTTAGCCTACACGTCTACACCCTTGCATCCTCCCTCTCGTGATGTTACACTATTTACAGAATGATTTTACAGCACAATACGGATCCTTAATAAACGTGATCCAATTTAGCTGACAGATGCTAGAAAAAGGAGCATGATTACAAGACGACAAGATACGCTTGCTCATTGGCCTGGTCGCAATGATTTTCCTAGTTACTTTTGTTGATCATTGGGACTAAAGCAATGAGCAAGCGTTTCTTGTCGCCTTGTATGGACGTACGTCGTACAGTAATGATGGCCCTAGAAAAGTTGCATACAAGTAAAAAAAAAATAAAAAAGGATCTGTATGGAAAGTTTGACGATACTATACTATTAATAAATGGCGGCGGTAGAGACCGCAGCGTCCATCACTGGCGACACCACCATCCATACTGGGTTAAGTAAGTTAGCGCTCTACAGTACAGTACAGTATATTTTTTTCTAAACTCTAGTCTACAGCACATAGTACTGTAAACCACTGTGCGAAGTACTGTGGCCTACAGTACCGCGTACTGTAGAGCGCTGTGAAAGCCATGGGATCTGTATCGTACCGTACTGTACCAACACGTCAATTAGCATGAAAGGTGACCCGCGTACCACCATAAGGGAAACGCTCCGTTGACGAATAAATCTCGTCCGTGAAATTGTTGTTTTGGTTTTTCTTGTGGTGGAAAAGTTCAATTTGTGATCACAGGTAGATTGAACAAGTAAGTTAATCATTGGCAATCGATGATCGTATTGGTTTAGTAGGTGTTGTATCCATAGTAGAGTTGCGCTAGATGCGTAACTGACTTGGTTATTGAGTGCGATAGGATAATGTCTAGTGTGAGAACGACATGGGGGACCAAGGGATGATGAATTTACGATCGATCGTACTTTGAACTTGATAGTTTCCAACATGCAATGATTTCTCCAATGGCTTTTCCAACTACAGTAGAAATTGTTCATAATCCGATAGTGTTGAGGCAAGGTACGGTCGATGATAATCATGGAAAGCATGCATTCGCTACTGCTTTATTTATTTATTTTGAAGAGGACATGAAAATGAAAAAGGTATCGTTTTAATAACGGTGTTTTGCAGCTTGGTTACGATCTGTCTGATGATGATGATGAAATTGTGTTCGACAGTAGTAGAATATCATAACAACACCCTAATGGAGTCAAATCCAACCCATTTTCCTATTCCTCATTCACTCTTTCAATCTCAACATTCTTGTGCAATGTTATTTACTGTACTGTACAATCCAAATCGATAAAACGTGCTAGCGATGGTGAGTATTGGAATGCTAGCAGAAAACCGGCAGGTAGCTGCCTTATTTTCCATCGTTTGGTCCGATAGAAATTGCATTTTGGACATACTGTACAGCGTGCACTAAACGAGTACTAGATGGAGTTATACGCTCAATCAGAGCACATAAGTTTGTCGGGCCATGTGCTTTACATTTTGCTCGCGCTGTAATGTTTTATCATTATGGTAGGGACGAAATGGTTTTGTCCGGTTCGTTTCAACTTTTGCAGCAAAACTTTATGAAAAAAATTCATTTTTATTTTTTACAAATTGAAAGACTTCCTTAATTGAATGATAAATTATAATGTAATGACAACGATAACTTGATTGTTCGGCCGATTGAGTCGTTAGAATCTGTATTCATGGACGTTGTGTTGTATTTCTTCTTCTTTCTTCCCTGTGTGATTGACTTGTAGGCAAATACGGTATGTTTGATGTTAACTGTTTGTTGGCTTCGTCAACTTTTAATGAATTAATGATACTGTACCGAAAATTATCACCGCCAACAGTTATTGAAAGTTGGATCAAATCCAAGTTCTTGCGACTACAGTACAGCTTAGTATCCGACGTATTTTTTTTTTTATTATGATGTACTGTATGATCGGATTCCTAACAAGGAGTTTTCGCTATTTAGGATCGTTGCCTATAAAGCAGTACATTATTACTTTCAGGACCATATTCGAAATGAGTTTGAATGATTTGCTATTAATTCATACGCGTAGAACGGAATTTTTAGTCTTCTTAAATGCTTTCTGTTTTATACTTTCCTCAGTCATTTGACCTTCGTTACAAAACACTGCTGTCCTGTAGTGAAACTACAGTATCGTGAAAATTCTCTTGTAATGAAGGAAGGGAATTGATCATGATTGACTTAACTTGGATTACAATTAATCAACTGACGATCGTTGAAGCACTGCTATTGCAATATTGTAAAGTAGTCACCTGATCGAGGGCCCCCCTAATCGTCATTTTTTTCAATCATGTATCGCCTTGAAGACGACGTTGAAATTGAGCCAAATCGTAATACAAGTTGGTTATCCTATTGTGTAGCGACGTCAAGAATAGCGTTGATAGATTTATTCCTATAATGTATTCCTACTTGCTTTGGGTAGCAGGAGTAATGCACCTTGTCGGACTAATTTTTCAAAAAAATGTAATGAATAATGTTGTTATTAAAGGCTTTTTCGACCCCGCTTGATCATTCCGCGAAAAAAAAAATACTGTACCTTGACCTTATATAGTTAGTCATGAATTTATTGTAATTATAATTGAAGTACGGTACTAGATTAAAATAAATTTAATTAAATGCAAGATTAAATCATTGATGTACCGAGTGATAGTACATTCGAATGAATTTTAAATTAATTAATCAATTATACAGTATACCAATATTGCATTATCCATTTGTTGACATGATAGGTATGGTTGGAAAAGATTGTCGTTTAACTGGATCACTAGCCTGCACATCATCTCGTTCGATCAATCTATCTAATTGTTCTCGAAAGTAAGTGTTTGCGGATAAGCAATAATTAATTGAAAGTTCCTAACACCCAATAGTACTGTATGTTATTCAAACGTGATTCAAGTTGCTATACAGCATTGTATGCAAGTGGCTTGATTCATCTTTGATTTGCTCTTTTCACTTCTAAAACAACTTTTATCAAGTTTTACACCGTACAGTATTTCCAAATTTGTGATTGCATACGCTATACTAAAGTAGTAAAGTACAGTTCCGTATCTATGAGTATATCATTTATTTCCAACACGATTATCATTAGTGGGTATGGCAGTTATGAATGCTTTTTTTGTTATTCAAGAATCATAATGATCATTGTTAATATTCATGAATTGCTTAATTTAAAATGAAGATGTTAGTATAGAAATTTGAGGGCATTTTTTCCCTGAAGTAGTACATTCTTCCTTGATTTAGATATTGAACTATAGGGTACGTGATAATGACATAAGCAGTCATCTTTAGAAGACTTGCTCATTGTCTACACGTTGTAGCTAGCTATAGGCGGCCTAAGCCTTTGCTTTATATAGGCCGTTGCTGCGCTATCTCAATTTAATTATCATCGTGTATAAATAGTATGTATATTTAAGTCATGTTGTAATTTGTTTTCCAAATTCTTGTCGGTAATAGCCGTCAACGCGTAAACGTGACCTACTTTAATTCAGTTAATAGGTACAGCATTGAAGGAGACAAAAAACTTGTATCTGTGGTTATTTAATAATTTATCTAGACAAGTCGAACTCCTGCTTGGCATACTTTGCGTACTGATTGAGTGTACATACAATAATTTAGTAGTCTGCACAGCCTTTATACTTTACGCCTATATATTGTATACCTACACAGATAGCAGTAATGTACGTGTATAATGAATCACTCATAATACCGTCGAGTTAGAGTGGTAAAAGAGTCTTTCTTTATGTCTCGATGGATACTAGTCTGTAATACGTTAACACATTGCAGTGTGGATACTTCATCCCAAATACGTTAATTAAACTTATAATGTTGATCAAGTCCGAGAGGGGTTATGGACTGTAGTTTTTCCCACTTTTATAATGTAAATACTAAGGAACGGACTTAGAAGCCCTCGAGTGATGATCACTGTCTCACTGATTAGCTATAATTGTTATTTGTCAGTTACTGTACAATGTACATACTCATCACACTCGTAAACACTGACGGACTTTACCAAATGTTAAGACTCACAAATACTGTAAACAAATTATTAGTTATTCCAGGACGGATTTCTCTTGTCATTTATTTATTTAGATTTGTTCTATGCATTTCTTAAAAAGTGTTATTAGAGTAGATCAATGACGGTCAGGTAGTAACTCATAAGCGTTTTCTTTCAGATTAATTAATTAAATTAGTAACAAATAAACAAGGGTACATAAGGTATTACAAGCTAAAGTATGCAGAATTTACTATACGCGTATAGTATACTGCCAGACTATGCCGTTATATATCAATACCAATATCTTATTTAAAGTAGTGATAGTGTTGCTACATTGGAGGGTATACGTACAACAGTGAAGAAATATGTTAATTAATCTTTAATATCAACAAGTATTGAACCGTGCCCATACCTATCAACAGCTCAGCTTTACCGTGTACTCGATGCCATAGCATTGATCACGACGCAATTTCTAATTACAGTACCTAAATTTCAGTTAAATGATACGTAAAAATATCATACCCTTTGTGGATATAGCTACCGATGAAAATGATGCATGGTAGAGCTTCAATGCTAGTATTATACCTATATTGAGGAACAAGCACTGATACTATGCTTAATTCCCTGATGTGCTTCTATGCTGTGATTATACACTTTTACTGCTTTAATGTAACCAAAAACTATAAAAAAAATAACTTTTTAACATCCTTCACTAGTGATATTCGAGAATATTTCATCAATGGCTACGATTTGGATGAAACCTTATTTACAAGTTTAAAAGGTATTTCCGAAGTATTGTATTTTATCGATTTTAAATACGTATACTACAGCCTATGTTGTCGTCTAATGGAGAAGTTTACTTTCTTGAGTACACTACAGTAATCATGCAATAGTCTCGCTGAATTTATAATCTATAGTATATGAATAAGATATTGCATAGGTACGGATATTAGTACAAATAAATGATTATGATATTTTACGTATTTAAGCTTTTGTATTAGCAGTATAGCGCAATATTTGAAAACTTTACAGTTATTTCTTTTTTTGAGATTATACTTCTTAATATTACGATAGAAGAATTCTATTCTGAGTAAATTATTAAGTTTCAATTCTTCATGCTATCTCTATTAAATAGATGAATCGAGCTTCTACTGTTGTCCCGATCGTCTTCGCTTGCCTTTAATTTTCTATTACGGACATACCGCTGCAGTACTTATAAACAAGTTGATGCTAGCTGGTTTGATCAAGGTTTGAGTGTAGATCTATAGTATTTAATTACGCTAACGCTTGTACTAGCTGTCCATCGTATAGTACGAGCTCGTACATTAGTATATACTGTAATCGCTTTGATTAGTTCATAGAATCAGCATTACATTTTAAGTTAAATTATTATTGTACAGTACAGTATACACGTAGAATGCTATTAATGTAAGAACTCATGATGAAATGTTCCTCATCTGCGTTCTGTTTCCATCGTAATTTAAGCTATCATTGAATCTAGATTTTTACTTAATGGCGTATTTTAAAATAAGGTTTTTAGCTTACGGTAAACCCTAATTGTGACATAATTAGAATATATATATTAGGAAAGTTTAGAATGCGCACGAATGTTAGGCTATCTTCAAAAATTCTTTCGCAAGTTACTTGATAGATCAGGAAGCCTTGCTATAGATTGTTCTATATTTACCTGTGAGACAAGATAGTGCTTAACTTGCCTTTAACGGACTTTAATAAATTAAAAAAATTTCAATATTGTCTGTGAAGGAACGTGTCGATCTAGAAATCGAAACTTTAATGGAAACTGGCGTCGATGAAATGTCCTGGGATGATACGGTAATAAATCCAAGTAATAATACTGTACACTGTACCTGCATTTAGTAGCTCAAATCCGTCGATATATAAATAGGACAAGTTGATAGATTTTCTGCATGTTGTAGTTACGACTGTTCTTGTACTGATACTTTCCAGTTAGCAGTAATCAAAATTTCTAGAAAACAAGCTGCAACTTGGTACATAAGATAGTAGTCAATTTGCTCGTTGAAAAGTAGAATTTTGATTACTGTTGGAGGAATAATATGCAATTATTATTGGCAACACAGTAATTCTTTTAATATTCAGTTTACAATCATTAATTAAATTAATTTTGGAGCTTTGTGTCACATAATGATTATTTGAGACTTCAATGCTACAACAATCATATATATATATATATTTATCTCTTAATGTGTTATAGCAAGTCAATTGCATTTTACTGGACATTCCATCATTTTCGTTTTTCCCTGCTAGGAGAATTATCGTATGGGTGGTAACTTTAAATGGCCTTCTGTAAAGGATATACTTGATTATCGTGCAAAAGTACGAAAAGTTGTGCTTGATGTTATCGATACAGCACCACTGGTATTACCGATTACGCAAGATAGCCCATGGGTAAGAGTTTCGCGAATGCATTAAAATTACCGTTAATATGCAATCTTTATAGTTGAGTCTATGGTATGTAGCAAATTTCGACGAGAATAAAAAATTTTGTTTTATGTTATTGTAGTGGGCTGTCATGTTAGGCCTGGACCATGAAAGGTATTGATAATTAAAGTATTAGTGCTTGCATGTTCTTTACTGTATCTAATCAAGCGAATATTTTTCTGTTATAGAATTCATTTTGAAACTTCTAGTGTTTTAATTCGTCAAATGCCCGTGGATTTGGTTACGAAACCTGTCAACTGGAATTATGGACCCTTGGAAAGTTCAAGTAATATTTCTAAAACTAATCGTTACTGTAATTCTGCAGTGAAATTTTAACCTATTGTATACAGTTAGATTGAAAATTTTAGTTTTATATCGCTTGCTAAAGTTGCTGTATTGCCATTACTTTTATGTATCAATTGATAGATGGTCGTGTTTACGAAAATCCCTTTATACGGGTTGATGGTAGCGTTGTTAAATTCGGCAAGTCGAGAGACTTTCCTTCGTTTGGTTGGGATAATGAGTATGGAGAAGCAACAGTTGAGTAAGTATCCGTACATAATTTTTGTCTGTTTACGGTGCTATAGTGCGTTATATGGTAGGTTATACTTATATGTTAGCAATGTTATGCAGTATCATTAACTAGGAATTGTTAATATTTAGGGTTCCATCATTTGAAGCACAGGAATTTCCGGTTACTAACTATGAATTCTTAAAATTCGTCAAAGCTGGAGGATATGATAAGAAAGAGTTCTGGACTGATGAAGGTATAATAAAGTTATGCGATCATTTTAATGACCGCGTCACTTAATTATCTAATATCGTAATTCTTTCGAAATTAGGGTGGCACTGGAAAGAATATCGAGAGGCTAAGCATCCTACCTTCTGGGTTTGCAATGAAGGTAAAGATTTGCATTCATTTACAAATTATTCATAAATTTTAAATAAAATCTATTCCATAATTTATATATAAATACGTTTATACATGTGTCCTGTTAGGATGTAAATCAGGATGTGGAGCATCACTAGCATCTTATTCACATTGTAATGGAAGACCTCAAAATGGAGATAGTACTAATGGCTCTAATTCTCGGAATGGACAAAACTGTTCCAATTCTAACTATAGGTAATATTTTTTCTGAGATTTTACCGGTATCTTTTTGTATTATCGCATGGTTATTATACCACAGTTTCATTGCATTTTCTATACTGTATAATAATTGATGTTATTAGCAGTGTCCAGTACATAAAATAAAATTCGTCAATGAATTGAATCGTTTTCATTTATTATTGAGTTTGTGTTATCTTGAAAAATTTTGTACATATTAAATTTCCATACTATAGATACCGAGCAATATTCGACGTACTTGATATGCCTCTTGACTGGCCTGTTGAAGTAAATTATCACGAAGCGAAAGCGTATTGTAGTTGGTTGGGTCAAAACTATCGCCTTCCTACTGAGGCTGAGTACCGTTTGATGCTTGGTCGTAAAGTATGTGACCACTTGTGATTGATATATAATTATGATCCAGTAAACTTACTGTAGTAGTATATAGGAGCCTTCAGTAATTTTTGATATTTTAACTAGCGTATATCACGTATTTTTCTATAGCTTAATGACTCTGCACTATTTCCTCGCTGTGACATGGCGTTTGAGAGTAATCCTCAATGTAATATAAATATGAAGTACTGTTCCTCCACTGTAAGTGTAAAGTAAAGCACAATAGTGTTCTCATGACGCTACTGTAATTATAATTAAGTCGTTTTTGCTGTAGCCCGTTAATTTGTATGGTCCATCATCTGCTGGATTCTATGACATTATGGGAAACGTTTGGGAATGGGCTGAAGACCACTTTAATGGCTTACCTGGTTTCAAATCTCATTATGTCTATCATGACTTTTCAACTCCTTGTTTTGATGGGAGGCACAATATGATTATGGTATTAAATGTGATATATGTATTTACCGGTAGCTAATGGAATAGGATTACATTAATACATTATCATTGTTTATTAACCATCTTAGTACGGTTCGTGGGCATCTACAGGTGGTCTATCATCTTGCTATGCGCGATTTGCATTTAGACGGCATTTCTTTCAACATATGGGCTTTCGTGTTGTACGTCATAATCCGGATGCTAATATCCCAGTTCGTCTCGTCAATGCTGAAGTGTTTGTCCTTGGTGTTGGTGTAGAAGGTATGGCTTATTTATGTTTTATTACTATAACGTTTCTGTTCCAATATGAATTAGGTCTCTTGTTAATGTTGATAATTTCCACTGCAGACAATGAGCCTTTGCTAAAAAATTGCGATGATCGATATGTATCAAGTACTAATGAAGAATTTTCATACGATACTGTTGATGCTGTAAACGAAATCATTTTGTCACAGTTTGGAAATGTTAATGTATGTTATTATGACCATCTTAGATATTTTATTTGAGTCGTATAAAAATATTTTGGTATAATTTTGTGTCAAAGGTATCTCAGATAGACGGAGTAGGTTGCGAAAATGGATCGGCTGAATTATATTCTCAAGTAGATAACATTTGGATTAAGGCTTTAAAAGAGTACGGTATTAATACGGACAGTGCTCTTGATATCGGCTGTGGAGTTGGCAGAAATTCTTTTGAACTCGCAAAATATTTTCATAAGGTTTATTTTATGTGAAATTTATCATTTTGACGATACGTACCATATGTATCAATTTACTGTATGCCAATATGTAATACTCGTATTAGATCAAGAATACAGTAATCTAAAACATATATTGATATGAATTATAGACATTATAGTGTATAATCAATTATAACAATTAAGGTTGTTGGAATCGACTTTGGTGGACGTCTAATTGATACCGCCTTAAAGGCTAAAAAAACCGGTGAAATTAAATGTTGTCAGGATGGGCATGATGAAATTGTGATTAAAACAGATAGTACGATAAATCGAGATAAGATTACATTCATGCAGGTACTATTTATGATAATTTACTCGTAATGTATAGATGAATCATTATGGCATATAAAAATAATGATTGCAACGTGTATACTTTTTCTAGCTGACGTGGTTACCAAATGAAATTTGTATGTTCGATTTCGTATTGCTTACTCATCTGAACCGTGTTGCCAACGACAAAGGTTGGTAAATATTGTAGTTGTAGAATGTCAGTGACATTGACCTTTAGGGCTACAGTATATATATTAGTAGTTGTATCAACATAATTTTGTATTGCTATATATGAATTTTGCGTATCCCTGATTGTCTTTATTACACTTGTCTAAGTTACAAACGTTAAAAATCGTGGAGGTCTATTGCTGTCTTTTTCACCATTTATAGCTGGATCTCGTATTTCTATCTGAAAGGCGTCTAACAGATAGAAAGAATTAATCACTACTTTCAAGAATTTCGATACATTTTTACGCATCACATATTGCTTTAGTTATATATCATTTAAAACATAAAGATCGTGATCAAGCGTACATAAGTTTCTTAAATTACCTTCGGGATATCACATGTATTATCTTCTTGCAACTGATTCAGTTTTCTTCCTGCAACTCTCTATTTGAGATAAGTGTTATTAGTTTCCTAACAATCGGCTGGTTGAGTTTTGAAAAGCATGACTGTTCTCTTGTTGTTAATTATTATGATGTATGAATAGTAATATACTATTTTTCTTTAAAGCCTGGATACTGCGTTTGAAAGAAGTAGTTAATACTGATGGATTAGTTGTAGCTATTAACTACGACAGGTCGCCTGATTACATAAATTCTTTGGTCGGCAAATGGTAAGTTAACTGGAACTTTTTTTTCAAATTCAGATTACACTTTATGTTGATTCTGTTTGTTGTACTGTATTGGCATAGGTTTAATCTTCGAGAAAATCATAATATTTCCTATCGAAAAGCTTGCAAAGGTCAAATTTGTGAATCTAGTACGAGTATCACTATTTGGCAACGCAATGCCGTTATTGCTTAGCTATGCCGTCCACTTAATACAGCTGACTATTTAAAATAATAGATATCTATACATTGGTGATACTAGATATTACCATGGTTATAAAATGGTTACGATTATAGTTGGCTATTGAATTATTTACTAGTATCGTATGAATCGCCAAAGACAAGTAGTTGATGAGATGTTTTCAAATCGATAGGTATATAACGACAGAACTTAAAAAGTGATATAGTAAAGTGGTGATACTTTAATAATATGGCTGTCAATTCTAGGCTTCGCAGTGATATTCATTACAAATGCAATATTTTACACTTATGATTTTTGAATCTTCATTAATAGCATACTGTAAGATGTTAGAGAATCTGAATATAGTTAGTATGTAATTTCTTTTTACGATGCATTGCTTTTCATTTACAATACGAATGTCTATTACATTATTTAATAATGGATGGATGGACGTACTGTATATTGTGAATTTTGCGTCGTTATCTTACAATATATCAATCGGTTACTCTTTGGGTATTTTATTAATTGCTTTTATGGTAAGTAGGGGCGCATCACTCTTTAATCATTTTACTCATTGGTAAACATACAGAGCGATAAGAACATTGTGGCGATTGCGTTTGATTTAAAATATGTATTGGTAGAGGAAGTTATAATTTCAGTCGTGAATATGTAGTATAATTTTATACACTTGTTATACTGTACTACCACACTTACGGGAACTATTATCAGTATCAATTTGTCTGATGTAGGAATATGAATGTAGATTTGTAACCTTATGTACCTGTATAAGGTGTTTGGTTAATGGCGATTAATAAACATGCTTCAAGATTTTACGAATAATACAAATGTTTGTTTTAATGTGCGATAGGAGAGGCGATTTGCAAGTGATTGACTTGCGATTTGTCATATTATTTATTATACGTCGCTAGCAAAGTATCATTGGGCTTATCCCTTTCGTCGCTTGAAAGACGTCTTGGGAGTAGTCTATTTGAGCGATGTGGTTATCGATAACTCTCCATAGGCGCACGTACAGTGTGCTTAGCATCCATATACCAGGTAGCTTAGTGCAATATGAATCGTATGACATGCAGTGAGCAGTGGATAATTTCCATCGGCCGATTTACGATAAAAGTAGAAATTTGGGGGGGGGGGGAAATTAACATCAAGTTCTTAACTCATACTATCTCCGAAATAAAATTTTGCTGTATTCTGATATTTTTCTGGGAATAAAAATCTTACCTTAATTATCCATTACCGATGCCATTGAAATATCGAAGCTATCATTTTTATGCTTGTTCACCCATGAAAACCCTAGCTAGAAAGTGTACTAGCCTACGGGTTAGCTATCCTCAACTCAATTATGCGAGTAGAGAGTATTGAGTTTCTCTATGCCTGGTATCATACAATCAATGACAACCGCTGCTAATGTTGCAATCATAGCATCGTAGCTATCATTTTACTGTACTGTATGCTTGTTCACTATTCACTTACAGACTAGTTCAATTTAATGTAATCAATATTAACCTTTTTATAATGTTGTAGTTGTAGTATCGATGCTGTCATTATTACGCCTATTCACTAATAATCTAGCTAGCAAAGTGGATTAGACGAGTAGTTAATGATAATAATTGTTATTGCAATCAGTGTCAAGTCGACCGTTAAGCCTGGCCGGATCGAATGGGGGGCGTGGAGGGCGAGAGTACAAATTTTCTCTTGAGCAGTCCCTGGTCACGTACAGTGCATTGTACTGTACAGTATAGTAGTGTACAGTACTTGTACTGTACAAACTGTCATGATTTGTTGTGATTCACAGTTAGCACAGAGTCTGCGCAGACTACTTTGAAAAGTCCAAAGCGCCAAAAGAAAATTGTAACGGTTAGTGGCAGTATTGTTGCTGTCGGGTGAACGGTCCTATACTGTACAGTGACACTACAGGACAGTACGTATCTCTAACAGTATTTCGTGTGACAGTAATAGCAGCAAGCAGTAGCAGTCGGCCGACAGTAAGGCCAGGGACTACTAAAAAGAAAGAGATGAGGCAGGAAGCGGTTGTTAATTATACTAACAATGTGGAGGCTGATTATTTTACTGGTCATTTCAGGTGTATCGCATGCCTGTCATGGTACACTATACTTTCTGCGATTGACATCCACATTAGCTGCTATTGTTAGCCTACTAAGTTGGTTTGAAGCAGTATGGTATACGATTTGATGGGTAGCGTACAGTCTAGTAGCATCAGCCCCAAAATAAGAAGCTTGCACGTTATTTTGCACTGAATCTGTTGTCCTGTCCCGTCTCTTTTTTTGAGTAATCCCTAATACAGTATCAAATCATTACCGTAGACCATAGTTGTAGTCTTGTAGACAGGTAACCTATGCCAGCAAACCACGACTAAGATGGGACGATAACTGACCTATCGTATCGCCAAGGTGAGCCAGGCACACAGTATTATTTGCAGCATCATCCATCATCGATGGCCTCAGTGATGCAGGTATGGTCACTGACTGACTGGGTCAGTCGTCACTGGAGTACAGTATACTGTATGATCATAACAGGCCATACAGTACAGTGTACAGTAGTGACGATTGCCAGCAAACCTCTGCAAACGAGGTTAGAACAGTACAACACTGTAGTGTACAGTGTACAGTGTACAGTATACTTCACCACGTACTGTACGCTGCCGTACTGTACTGGACTGTATAAGTATGAATACAGAGCGCAGCGCGTGACACTAAGCTCAATTCTTGCTACAAGTGAAGTCTGAACCGGTACACCGTCGATGACCAAATGGATTACGTGGCTGCAGGTGCAAGTATTCAAATTCAACGTTCCGATGGTGAGTTGTTGAAACCAGCCTAAAATGAATCGATGATAATCATTCATGACTTGCACAGATGAGCGATATAGAAGTGATGTTTTACTTTCTTGCACGCTTGATAGACAGTCTACATTGCAGTGTTGGTGGTGAATACAGTAATGAAAAAGAAGGAGTTGTTGCGGGGTCATTTCTTATTGCACTGAATCCAACCATTTGAAATGAAGCATTTACAGTTATAATATTCAATTCGATTAGTCCATTGGATAGTAGGATGGAATCAATTTTAATTGAAAATCAATTAAAAGAGGGCTAAGCAAGAGCGTTGAGGCTAGTTATCAATTCATTTCCCCTTTTGATGATCGATACTAGGCCAGATCGGCAGTGTGATTGATTGACTTGGACAGTATTTCTATTGTTTTCCTTTAAACCGTTGAAAGTAGTATACATCGTACACATACCGAGGTAGAAAGTACTTCACGGCTCAATCATCCCACTCTACATCAATTAAATTGAACCGATATTTCTTTCAATCTTGATTACTCTTGGATGATTACCGTGCTAGCGATGCCCCCCCCCATACAGCTTTTACTCGTCTATTTATACCCCATATTAGGCACAATTCAATATCCAAGAACCATAGCTGTAGTGTCCTATTACCATCCTTTTGGATCGAGTAATCACAACACTCGTTTATTAGATTACGCTTAGAAACGATTGATGCTGCTGCACTATCTCTCTCTCCCAATCTAATCTACATCATCGTTATCGATCGATAACGGCATTTGTCTAAAATACTCCATCAATATTGATCGACCGCAAGAAAAATAATAATGATTTTACGCATATTATTACAATACACAGTGATATAGAATAACATGATAACTTCCCTTCATAAAAGCAAAGCCAGCAGTGTACTACCTGAGATTGGTCAACAAATGAATACAGCATGAGTTAACTTTTTCTCACAAACAATGATTTTGAATTTCACAATCGTGTTAACTCATTTTATTGAATTATTATACTTGTAATAGCTCAAATTAGATGATATAAATCTACTTGATTAAGCTGAAAATGATCTTTACCTAACCGATCGTGTTTGCCATAATCTACTTTTGCGTGTTAATCATGTAGCGAAGAACTGATAAGTCGACCATGATTTAATCTGCAGTCTACATATTGAATAATTACGATTAATTTACTGTACAGTACAAGTATACGCATATAATTGAATTGAAATCGCTCCAGTTATGCAAGCACACTGACATTTTATCTGCTGTTCAACTCATATGGTGATAGAAAACAATTTTTGGATCAAAGCACAACTTATATATTTCTACATGTTGAAGCCATTATATAAGTTATACGTTAATAAGGATTGCGCCTAATTAGTCTACAAAGCGTAGACGTCTATCATATGTCGACGTCAGAAAATTAGGCACTCGGGCTAGAAAGCGCTTTTTTCCCCTCCCTGTCTTGCCTCGTATGTCGTTTAATAACAATCATCACTCGAAATGATTAATGATGAACAGGAAAGATTTCTACTAGACGTTTAAGACAATCAAGAAAGGATTTCTTCTGTAGTTCCCCACCATGTGACAATTGCTTACGTAGAAAATTTTGTAGTTTGAAGTTGAAGTCATTTATGGGACTTGATGGCACTTGCCATGTAAATCAATACTCATATACGAAACAAATGTACGTAGTCCTAATCGTTACATGCGCTAATTTCATGTTATAACATCAGCTTACAATATATTCTCTTCTTGTCCATTACTGAAGCAAAAGTGAACTGGAGGTGCAAATATGCCCATACCGGCAAAGGAGATTCGATACAATATTGCTATATTAGCACTCTGGTGAGATCCTATAATTGTAGTTGAGGATCGTAGGCGCGGTTGCTTGGTTGGTAAAAGAGTAGAATATATACAATCACCAGACAGATATCTCGCAAAGGTGTTCCCAACTCCTAACATTGGAGCTGCCCGTCTTCGCTGATGTTTGTAAAATCTTCTTGATTACATTACTAAATACTACAGTTTACATTAATGCAGCAATTCTAGTTAATACTTGTACTGTAGACGGAAATATTTCTTGATCTCCAAAACATATATTTATTATTGGGAGTTTTCGGAAACCCAGTATTATTGCAATACAATATTGCACAACACTGATTTGTATAGTAAAACTATTTCTATCATTTTCTAGCTTATAAATAGAGTCATTTCGTTTACAGTATTGCACAGCACTGATCTGTATAGTAAAACGATTTCTATCATTCACTGGCTGGCAAATAGACCCAGTTATTTCGCTGAATTAGATTGACTGTGTAAAAGGGTAAAGTGCACGTTTGATTCAGACAGTCGTTTTTTTATATTTAAAACAGAGACGTACGTGTAAAGGCGTATTCATAGCACTGTACAACTAAAATGGCTTGTTACTGTTTCGCTAAAGAAGGACTTTAGCTTAACTCCTATATGATGCAATTAGGCTACTGCGGTATAGGTTAGAGACTCTTTATTCCATTCTAAGCCATCTCCTTCAGAATATTAAGGATTTCTAGCGTACACTGTACAATAGGTGCTCGTAAAAAGTACGCTTAATATAAACCTAAGTAGCAAGTAGACACGTAAAGATCGACCGACAGCTCTGAAAATGTATTAGATAGTGATAGTGATTAGTTAGTTCTTATGCCATTCTTGCAAATTGTATTGGTAATGACCGATTTTACAATACTCCTATTAGCAGTAAGTCATGAAATAATAAATAGACTGGAGGTGATCGATTTATTCCATCAACTATTTCTTAGCCTTACGCCCTTACCGTTACCAGAAAATACTTGTAGTGTTTTGACAGCAACCCTATTCACAACCTAGCCTTAACGTCGAGCATGGAGATAATCGGATGTAAATGAGTTGAAGATGAATATATGTGTATAAACATAGCATTTTATTTCTCTTTAGGGAGAGTCCATTCCGCTGTGATAAGTAGCTTAAATGTTGATACTCGCAGCGTAACTGTGGAGTGGTTTGAGAATGGTGAAACAAAAGGCAAAGAGGTAAGTGATACTAGGCATCATTTCAAAAGATGCAATACATAAATGTGAAAGATATTAAAGACATTAATGTTGAGCGTTGCGTATGCCATAAATCGATGAGTTTATAACTAACAAGTCCAACTGCCCGTATAATGTCGACAGTCAATACAATGTTGACCTATGTAATTAGCTTATTTATTTGGTCATAAATTCGAGTGATTATTCAGTAATCTGTATTCCTTTAATTATCAAAAATTCAATTTTATCGTGAGATTCGTTTTATTTAGCTGTTGTATTCGGATGATATTCTGGCCCGTAGCACTTACTTTTCGTATCCCATTCAATTTTTTATTTTTATACTTCGATTTATGACGTACATATGTATTTGTGGGATACAATCTGTTCCTATTCGATCCTTTCTCTATGCCATTAGTTATGCACATCATAGACGCCATGGTACAATATAGTCAATTGTTCAGCTGTTCTGAATTCTTACAGTAATAAACTGTGAACAATTACCCGCAAGCTTCCAGTTGCTATGAGTATAGTCACGATAATAGTAAGAAAACGTTAAAGACTTTCTATAATTCTCATCTGAAAAATGGTTGGCAAGTTTCCGCCTTCATAATAACAGTGCAAAGTATACCCACCTTTTAATGGCCATATTGTAAAGATGATACTACCTAATAAGACTCATACGCGTGTGATACTCTACTGTACTATATCATCTGCAGTTGTCCCTGGTACAGTATAGTACGGATTTGACCTGCTGTTAGCATCCGATCTTCTGTCCGTCGCAGTTAATTGCCGTAGAATTTGGTTGAATTAATTCAATTATTTTACGTGTTTTGATCTGTAAATAAATACTGAAACTGTTATTGATTCAGCCTTCACTAAATCGTAAATGATGTCGATGGCATTATAATGATTAATATATTAAGTGTGGGTTGAAATCATGTTCATCGTAATATTAGATATTGTACAGTACAGTACAGTAGTTGAAAAATGGAGGATGATTACTCATGAAATCATTTGTTTACTGTACGAGTCTCGTATGCTGTACAAGTTATAAATGTCATTTAGTTGATTAACGATAGCAAGTAATTATCTACTTTAGCTATAGATATACAATTTAAAAATGCTATGGTTTGCTATTATAGCTTTTTTAACATCATATGCGTCTACTCTGCTTTCGTTTAGTTGATTAATGAAAGCAAGCGATTATATACTTTGGCTATCGATATCATTCGCTTTTACTAGCTTTTCTCTGACATGGTGATTAAGCAGACTGCTTTATGCCCACTATCTTTTTGCATGTTGATGTTAGACATTGTTTGGTGAGAGTAGACACAACCCTGTAGTTACCAATACCATGCGGTATTGTCCTAATAGACCTCATGGAAAGTACTACAGGATACATTATATATTTATTATTAATAATGTGTACCCTCCATTTCTTGTAAATGAGTTATATACGTATGTGTCTTTATGATCAGTTGGCATGATTGCAGAATACTTCAGTATTGGCTAAACCAATTACATAACGATCAATTTATAGTTGCTGAACTAATTATGCTATACGATATAGTCTTATACGTAATTTACTCGTATGACATATGGACTGTTAATTGGGCTAACAGATTGGTTATTTTGTTGTAATAAATCTCAGATCGAGGTTGAACAAATTTTGGCACTCAATCCTGAACTATTATCAAATTCTAAAGCTAAATTGGCGCGTAAAATTCCTGCACCAGTGCGCAATTTAAAGGTATGTACATCAAATAAGGATTAAACGTTTCCGCGAATAAGATTGAAACTCATTGTGTAATGATAAGAGCAGAAAGTAGAATTGTAGAACCAAGATATATTTAATATTGCACTGAAATGGTCATACCATACGCTGCACTTATTGCTGGTAAATCAATTTTCAACAGTATAGTCATTCTGTTGGAAGTTGCATAACAGTCCTAGTTAGCCTACGTATTGCCTAATGCGATGGCAAATATGAAAACAGTCTCGAATTTATTCGTAAACTGAGTTAACGCAGGTGATTGGTGATAGTAATCTTATGCCAAACAATTTTGTACTTTCATCATGTATTAGTTTTTACTTCAATCGTCTTGGAACAATATAATGAACTAGTGTATTCATTGTTATAAGTGTTACTATAAAGAACAGATTTGATTTATACGGTAAAGTTCACAAACGCATATATAGCTTTGCGGTACTTAGTAAATTTGTTAACCGAGTCATGCCTATACTGTATTGTATAGACACGACTCATCAAGTTATACATTAAATAAAGTCATACAGTTTATCATATACAAAAACTCATAGACTGTAAATAATTAATTGTACATAAGAGATTACGTGGGTGTAACTGTTTTTCGCCTTTTTTATTTATTACACATATGGTAGTTCAATAGTTAAAGTTGAAGAGCCAATATTACTACTTTAATTTTATTTTTCTTCCGCTTTCAATCATCAACCAAATTTGCTACAAATTCACGATAGCTTTATTGTTCGTTATATTGAGTGCGTTCGATAATTTTAAATTTTATTTAATGTAGAACGAAAACGAAGTTCCATCCATGATTCCTTCACCCAGGAAGGTTGCTAAGAATGAAGAAAAAGGTATTCTAGCATTCTTGAATGATATACGTATTTACCTCTGTTAATGGCATGTATTTGCTACTCTTATTACAGCTACCGAGGCGGAAACTAATGCTAATAATAAGCAGCCTGGTGTACCATTTAGGCCACCCTTATCTCGTGGAAATTCCAGTTCAAATATACCAGCATGTAAATATGATACTCTATTGTGTTTATATCACAGTATCTAATTACTAATATTAACATAATTGCTACTTTGGATGCACTAGATTGATGAATGTATTGATAGAATATTAGGTATTAACCCCTGTGATTGAATATTTTGTATTAGCTCGTAGGCGGTCTAATTGTGTTAAAGAAGTTGAAAAACTGAAGAAGAATAGAGATGAAAGAAGGTACTAGATATCGCTACTTATAGTTATTTATGTATAGATTTATGTTCTTTGTTACTGAAATCACAAGCGGTGATACAGTGATCATTTATTAAACTTAAATCTATTGCACATGGTGAGTAATTTTATTACTAATCTGTTTAGGGCGAGAAATGCTGAATTGATTCAGAATCGACTTGATGTATGTATCTCTAGCATATTATACTAAACTTTCCGAAAAATTTGAGTACTCAATCTAAGATTTAGCGATACTATATTATGACTGTAGGATGGGGACGTTCCAAGTGGTCCAAATGCCGATTTCTTAAAAATGATTAGGTATATTTCAGTAAATAATATCTAACTGTTCGACTAGGATTCAAGTCGACAAGCTAGATGAGAGATTTAAGTGGTGGCACTTACAACGTGTTGGTTCAACTTGATATATTATCAAAAATATTTCTTTTAAAATTTTATAGAGAATATCGTGACACTCTCGAATTTGATGAAATAACAATGTCAGATCCAGTAAGATTACTTTAACTAATGAGTTTGTTAAATATTGTTTTAAAAATTTTAACACTATGGGATGATTTAGGTATTGGATCATCAAATTTGTGTTTGTGTACGTAAAAGACCACGTAATAAAAAAGGTATATAAGGAGATTGCGGTAGACAATCAATCAATTAATTATTATCCATATAGAATGCGTTATGTAGCGATGTACGTATATATTTGATAATGCTACATTCGTTGTAAAATCTTGAGCAAAAAAAATGAAACAGAATTTGATTACAATCAAGTTCAATGTTGGCAACTTTTGTTTTGGAGTTAAACTAAATATATATTACTGATTAATGTTAATGAATACCACTCTTATTAACTGGTATATTACAATTTTTTAGAAAAAAATAAGAAAGAGATCGATGTTATCACTATTCCTGATAAATATACTACCTTGGTTAGTTTCTCCTTTTCTTATTATTGTTTACTATGATAGTAATATTAAAAATTTTAGTTGTTTGTTATGAGCTAAAAGAAATCAAATTGAAATACTAACAGGTTCACGAGCCAAAACTAAAAGTTGATCTTACGAAGTACTTAGAAAATCAAAAATTTAGGTAGGTCGCTTTTATTTTAAACTTATTTCTTTTACCATAAATATTCATCGAAGTTAAAAAATAACATATAGCTTCGAATATGAACTTCTTCACAACAATTCAAATAATCCTTCAATATAGCTTAATCATAGCGTTTAGCATAGTATCATTTCTTGCTGTTTCTAATATGGTGACATCTACCTTTATGCATAGATTTGATTATTCTTTCAATGAAAATGCCAGCAATGAAATGGTGTACAGGTTAGAAGTCAAGATTAAGTTATACTGTATAGTTTAGTGATATAATTATTACTGAATCTTTGAGCTGATTTCACGGTGTAGGTATACGGCTCAACCGTTAATTGCTACAATCTTTGAAGGTGGCATGGCAACTTGCTTTGCCTATGGTCAGACTGGTAGTGGTAAAACACATGTTAGTATTGTTTTCTATCGTTCGAAAATTTTTTTGTAACCTTCAATCTTAAAGTTTCCTAAAATATATTTCTATCGATTTCGTCAACTTCAGACCATGGGTGGAGATTTCTCCGGTAAAGAACAAGATTGTACGAAAGGCATCTACGCTTACACTGGTAAATCAAAATATAGTGTTGAAGCCTAAAACGATGATCCATCATACAAAGCGTAAACAAATTGTTTAATTATATCCTAAAATTATGCATCTTTAGCTCGTGATGTTTTTATCCTAAATTCACAATCAAAATATCAAGACTTGAGCCTTAAGATTTGCGCTAGCTTTTTCGAAATTTATGGTGGCAAGGTACGGAAAGTTAAAATACTTTATGCATTTTTTTACCAGACAGCCTAATTCAAGTTATAAGAATTAATTATTATGGATTACTTTTGCTTTGTAAGGTTTTTGACTTGCTAAGAAATAGAAAAAAATTACAAATTCTGGAAGATGGAAAGCAGCAAGTTCAAGTTAGTGAATTGAATGAATACGAAATAATTTCACTTTGTCCGTCCATGTTATAATGGCATAGCTTACCAAATTCTCAGGTTGTAGGACTATCGGAGAAGGAAGTCAAGAGTACGGAAGATGTTCTTGATCTAATTAAAATCGGTAGTGGTATTAGGTAATAATTCCACTAGTAATTTTTGAAATGAAGATTTGTTCTCTAAACGTGAAGGAGAAGGCTAAAAATATATAATTTCAATTGTTGCTAGAACTTCGGGAACTACGTCTGCGAATAGTCATTCGTCTCGTTCTCATGCAGTTTTTCAAATCATTATAAGGAAAGGGTTAGTAATACCTGATATTACGGATGAGTAATGTAGATAAGCGAATATCAATGTAATCTTCATTCGATAGGAAAGCCAACAAATTGCACGGAAAATTTTCTCTCATTGATCTTGCTGGTAGGTATTTCCGTATAATTTTACGCAACTGCTGTTTCACCTTAGTCAAGCCACTGTCTCGTAGACTATAACGCTTTTGTCCGCATGATTTATTTTTAACTTGATTAGGTAATGAGCGTGGGGCAGATACATCAAGTGCGAATAGACAAACAAGAATGGAAGGAGCTGAAATTAATAAAAGTCTTCTTGCACTTAAAGTATTAATTCTATAGCGCTTGTTACGATAATTTGCAATAAGTATTGAAGAATCTATCAGCCAGTCAAATGTCAATATTATCATTATCAGGAATGCATTAGGGCACTTGGTCGAAAAGGAGGTTATACACCATTTAGGGCTAGCAAATTAACTCAGGTATTTTCCTAGTATAAAATCTCACGTTTTCTAGTATATGGTCTAAAATACTCGCTCAATGCATATGATTTGATGCACATATTAACGATAAATTTTGTCAACCTATTTTGACGTAGGTTCTACGAGATTCTTTTATTGGCGAGAATTCAAAGACATGCATGGTATGATTGTTTCTATATGAAGCGGTGTTACTAGATTTAACCAATCTAAGGAATCCTTAGCTAGTTATTCTTTGCGTATTTTTTGAATGAGTAGATTGCTACAATCTCTCCTGGGATGAGTTCTTGCGAGCACACTCTGAACACTTTACGTTATGCCGATAGGTATTCTCTTGCTCAGATTATAACTTTCGTGTTACTCTGTATTTGTGACTACTTTGATAAACAATTCGTTATGTTGATATTATCATGATACAGAGTGAAAGAATTACCAAGTAATGGACCAATGCCTCAAGCCGCTGCGTTACCTAATATTTTAGAGCAAAATAATGTTCAAAAAAATAATGTAAAAGACAATCTCACGGACAGTAAGAGTAGCGACTTGGCTTTACTTTGCTCACAAAATGACGTACGTGCGCTAAAATTTTATGGAAGTTATTTGCATCATATTACAAATCTACTGAAGATTGAATTTAGGATAATAATGCATTGTATCGGAGCTAATCTACAGAATTTATTGCTTAAAAGTAATTAATTTTTGCATCACAGGATGTTCAAGGTGAAGACCATGGTTGGCTGCTAACATTCCATGAAACTGTAACACAGCTTCAAGAAGCTGAGGAACAGCTTATAGAAGCACATCGGGCTTATCTACAGAAAGAAAAATCGATTATCGATATTGAAGACAGAATGTTGCATGAAGTTGATACTAATGTTGAATATGACATAGACGGTATGAAATTTTAAATTATAATGGCATTGTAGTTTATATAGTCCATGATGAGTAATGAGCAGTAAAATAAATTTTTTATTTTATTTACATAGAATATTCAAAAAATTTGGATACAGTTTTATCGGAGCAAATGAAAAGCATAGCTGAACTTAGAGGTAGAGCGTTTTCTATAAGGTCTTCTGCAATGCTAATGCGTTATCGATACTTTTTCTCAATTCAAAATATATTTTTATGAACATATTAGAAAAACTTTTCCGTCTTCAAACCGTAATACAAGAGGAGGAACGTGTCAGTCAGAATTTGCAGAAATCGACAGCGGTGTCTTAACCTTGCTATTGCACGGATAATTATTTTAGCTACAGCGGCCCGATGCATGAAAATTTTATATCTGCCAAGATTGTTACAATTATTGGCTGCATATGCTGTAATCGTCGTATTCGTAACATACTCGTTTGTTAGAGAAATGCACATAAAATGATGTTGTAGTGGTACACTATTTAATCATTTTACTAAGGAGAAAATGCTGTAGTAGTGCTAGCGCTAGCTGCTCGTATGTTGTTTTGGTGATGATATACGATTTAATTGTATGATATCATATACAGAATGAGGCTAAGCCTTATTTTGTGTACGATATTGCTGTAAAGTGTATACATTCATATATTTTTTGTAATTTCGAACATTAAATTTTCAGTAGTTATTTAGTTAAAATTATTACTGGCATTTACATATTCAAATGAGACCTTGCGTGAAAAAGATTGTTCTTATAGATTTCTGATTCAGTAAATAATATAGTGTAATTTTTACCTCAACCATGGTCAAGATACCCGACTCTTAGTTACAACATAACTCGGAAACAGTTAAGTTCATTTTAGAAATGAAACACTCCAATTAAGTGAACTATCTAAATGGATAGAATTGTTCCATGCTTGCATCTCTGCTAGTGCAGTAAAGTATAAGGATGATATACGTGTATAGTACGTAACTAGTTTGTGTAAAGCTCTTGATTCGGATACTTTTTTTAGGTCGGTGCATATGATACACGTATCTACTATTTATGTAATATTGAATCATAATGATGAGAACGATTAAAAAAAATTAAAGATTTTAAAGTATAGGAGAATAAATTGTTAATTTCACGTGGTCTTGTGTATCTTATCTAATAAGATTGTTCCGAGATGTCCATGACGGAATTTAGTCAGGAATCTTGTTGCAGCCTGTTTCAAATCGAGGACACCGCCTAAGCGAAAGCAATAATTTAAAATACAGTATTTAACAGTAATATTACAAAACACAATATTACTGTTAATGCTTTGGTGCATAATTGTATTGTGGTTCTTATACTGATATTACAGTAATCTTTATTTACAGTATAACCCTAATTACAGAGTTACGGATCTTAGGTTTCGATAAAGTAGATGATGTACTGCGATTAAATGTAAAACCAAAAGCGCTATAGAATACTTTTGGTTACTGCAAATTCATTTATTGATTAGTTAATTATCATCGATTAAAGTAGAACTCCGATTCAGTCTAATACTATGATTGATTAAAATTATAATGGGTAATATTGTATTAAACATTCAATCTAATCAGTAAGGCTATAAATAGATGGTGGATTGGCATCATGATGTAACTTTACACTACGCATAATAGTTAGATATTGAAGGTTTTGGTGTACGTATATCCACAAGTTAAATTTTTCAAAAAAATCTATACGTTGTCGATTAGTATACGAGCTATTGATATCTGTACTAACCTTTCCTTAAGGCACCCATTTTATGACCAATATGCACCAGAAGTTGATCTATATCATCAGTACAGTCATCTAATCCAAAGTACTCGACATAACTAGGTAGGGTAAATAATTACATTAAACACTTACTCTAGTATAAATGCTGTAACAACGTCTAATATGTAGGTAATTATAATCAATTGCTTATCGAATTTCCTGTTAGCAACTATTAATAACAGATACTCGTATAATGGATTATGTACCTAAACTGCTTTTGACGATTCAGTGTAAATAATAAGTAATCCGCTATATGTTCTTCACCAATTAGGTGATCTTTTATCGTTCCTTTCGTAAAGTCATTCCGATACATTTATTAGTGAATAATGCATGGCAATAATTACAAGTATCTAACATTTTAATACCTTTAGCTATTACAGTGTTTGCTATCATTATTATTAATGACCAACCTACTAAAGCTAACTTAAAACCAACTTCAACGTCTCGGACATAGGTAGGCATAATACCTGTAATTTTATCGCAAAATCAAAATAGAATTCAATATATATAGCTATCAGTGCTGTATTTTAAATTAAGTTAGAAATTTATCAAAATTGTACAACAAACATGAATTAGTTTTAATTGAAAATGATACCTGGTGTATCTACAAGGAATGTTTTCGGATTACTGCATACCTAGGATTTTGATGATACTAATACGTAAGTACCATAGTAACAATACCTTTACCATACCATATACTCGTACTCTCTGTTTAAACAAACCTCTATATTGGTCTGAACCGCACGGGTAATACCTGGGACTCCGCCAACATGTGCAGCGTTCCCTTTAACGATGATTTTAATAATTTAGGTAAATGATGATCACTGCAGTAGATATTTCAAACGTATCAAGGAATTGCTGTACCTTTATTTTTCCTAATACGACGAATTGCGTTAATAACGGACGATTTACCCACATTAGGTAGTCCTATAACCATAATCCTAAAGAATCCCTAAAATGATTCAGGTAGGAATAAATATGCTGATTACAGTAGAAAGTAATGTGCCGTCAGAAACTAATAACATCTAAATTAGTTTTACGAGCACATCTATGTAAGCTACGGATTACAAATCTTGAATATGGATGATACCGACCTTCTTGTTATCCGAACTGATGCCATGCTCATTCATACTGCGCAATGCTGCAGGTATGATCTGAAAGAGAGAATTTTTAATTAAATGTGAATTGATCATTACGATATTACAGTTCGCATAGCTAGTAGCGAAATCGTATACTTGGCGTATGGATGGATGATATTGCTTGGCACTATTAGTAAAAATGATTTCGTGCTTTCCTAATCGTTCTACAATTTGCTAAAAATAGATGCAAGACAATCAATGATAGCAAATCAGGTCAGGAAGTTCGTCATCTATAAATTAATCAGCAAGCATTGCGTATAATAATGATTAAGAGCTGTAGATATCACTAAAGCTAGAATAAAATAAGGCGTGTATTGAAAGATATAATAATATCTGCTTAGTATTAATTAACAATTATAGCACAGCACTTTTACAAAGAGCTGGTGCAAAAGAAACAGCTATCTTATTTGAGACGAGAAGGGTACGATATGAAACCTTTCTGGTGTTTTTGGCACTTAGGTCAGCTTTATTTAAAATTAGGACTCGAGGTCTACCAGCTAAGATTCTGGAAAATTTTTCATTTCTACTGGAGAATGGAATCTAGAATACCATTGCAGAAGTATGAAATGTACGTTAAGAAAATGCAATTCGATTTTGTATAGTATATACTGTACTATATGAATCAACAACACGCCTAATTCATCATCATCGTAGACATTGTTATGATTCCATAATCATCATAATTTATTCGACACTATCTTAATAAATGGCTGCAATAGCTACCCATCCTAGATTAAATGAAACACAATAGTACACAGATAGTTCGTTTACCCTAGCATCTCGCACTTCTAGGACGCAATCGCATCGAACTAAAACAGCTTGCATTTTGTGCATGCCTACAAGGTAGAGTTAAAAAGTCTGATATTAAGAACGTGATATCATTTCGTAATAAGCATAAAATACATCTACTTTGCTACAGATTAATCAAAGTTTCATGGTTTAGTAGACTTGCATCGCTTTAATAACTATTCTTTCATGATTTTCCTATTAAAAGACTATTGATAAAGAGATGTGACAGATAGATTGCACATTTTCAAGAATGTTAGGGTCAAGCATGTCGAAAGCTAGAGTACAGTAGGAAGATGTTTTCAACTTAGAATTCAGTTAGGCGTTATTAATGCATAGGAATATTTCTTCTGTAATGAAGTATTTATAGAAGTTGGCTTTGCTGTTATCTTTTCTAACGATAGACATTCCAGTTTACCTTTAGCCATATGACCAGGATACCACTGGACCGAATTTAACGATGGAAATTGAAAGAAAGTTCTAAAATTTTGCCCTGCCATGTTTGCAAGCTCCGGTAGCTACGGACTGTAAAGTGTCCTCGGATACCGATGACGTCCAGACGTCCAGACGCCCAGATGTCGTGCAAGGCCAATTGTGCAGAATGAAGACGAAGCAAAGGTGATCAAATGATCCCTAGTCTGCTTTTGCAGTAAATTGATCATTGGATATCCATCCATACACTAGTACACTATCGAATGACTTTGCTATACGAAATTCTTAGCAAAATTACAGGGTGCCATGGTAAGATTAATCTTTTGTGCGATAGACGGTATGTAGATTAATGAATCGATAAGGCTAAGCAACCCCCGCTCCAGTATTAAGGTGCAATGGACAGTACAGTATATAGAATTATACGTAGGGAAGATTAATCGATAAGCGTTACATAATTCCAGTATCCAGATTGTTCCCTAGTGATAGTAATAAATATACTGTATATAAACAATTCTACATAATTCATTAGGAGTAGTAAGTCAAGTTATGATGTTCCGTTCATTACGGTAGTTTGAATTTTGATGCAATGAAATTCTTAGCGTAAGATTAGTAATAATTGCATCATGATAGCTCTAGTCTTGTTTCGAAGGACATCGTGCGTTTACGTATTTGTCCGCTGTGAGATCAATTGAAATTGCCATGTAACCGACATAAGTATAAATTGATGCCGTGACAATTCGGTAGGATATGCATTAGTGTACTCGTGCTGTAGAGTTATACTGTATTGGGCTGCGTTAACTGATTCAGGTATAATACAGTTGGATTGTTCATGTCAATCTTGCAAATCGTCAGTAAGATGGCGACTTGCGAGCTAGTAGGAACTAGAATGTGTATCTGCAAGCTGAAATTGTTGTCAAGAAGTCATTTCGTTGTAATAAGACTATGCACAAATCTTTGTATCATACCGATACATGCACAATTCAAGAATTCAGCTAAATACTTTTATTGATATATGTCGATATCGTAGTAGTGACACAGTAGCTACAGTTATACTTTGACAGACTGTCAAAAGAAAGACATAACATTAAGACTCAGTAAAGATACAGACTAACACACTTCTTGAACTCCATTAACATTGAAACAGTCTTTCATTCTGCAGATTTAGCCATGGCACAAAGTAAGGCACCGTAGCTAAATTATTCAAACGGTTCAGGAGCAAAGTTTGCACTTTTAGCAAAATTAATTATAACCTCGTGGGCTTCTACGAAATGTGCTCCTAACTGTGCACTAACTCGGTCTTTCCATGCCTTGACGTTGGCTCTATTCTTGCCAACATCAATACCGATTTGGTCTAACTGAGTAAACTCACAAACCGCGAACAAATCAGCAATACAAATTTCACTACCGCCAATGAATAGACGATCCTTAACGAAGTAGTTCTCGAACAGATCGAGGGCTACAGTTAATTTTCCTTTGGCTTCCTTTATAGCAGCTTCATTTCTGGGTTGCTTCCTTATCTGGTGTAAGATCACCTAATGGGGTCAAAATTCACACTTATAGGCTGCCTATTTCAAAAGTATAGATGATTGATCAATCGCAAAACTAGTACTTACGGCATTGAAGAATACACCGGTAGCACCACCTCTAGTATTGCTGTGATGCCAGTTTAAGTACTCATTTACTCTTGCTTTTGCTGCAGCGTCTTTAGGATACCAGTGATCGGGCGTAGAATATTTAGCGGCCAAATACTGAACAATGGCTATACTAGGTAATTATATATATATATATAATATATTGATTACTAAATTGATGAATAATGGGTAATTACCGAATAAAAGTTACCTACGATACGAATATCACTAGTAAGTTAACAGTAACTAACCACTCGATCGTGTCTGACTTGAAGACTATGGGCGTAACAGTTAAGGGACTTTCTCGTCGATTACTGAAGCTCAAAGTCTATCAATTTAGGTTACTGTACTATTTTAGTACTTACCCCTCTGCAAGACAAAAATCTCCATCCTTAATGGCTGGAACTTTCCCCATAGGGTTAACTTTTTGAAAGTCTTCTTTAGTTTGTTCGCCTACGCAGATGCAGAACAGCATCACAGTCAAGTTTTACATTTTCACAAACAGTGTTGGTAACGTTGTATTAACAACAATAAGTTTAATAAGTTTATGTAATGCAAACATTGCTTCCCCAATCGCAACAACATTGCCATCATACATGTTAACAACAACAATATTATAGAATCTTGTTTGCTATTGGGGATTATAGTGCTGTACTTTTGTTAATTTATGGACAATGAACATCCCCCCAAAAGTAGATAAAAACAGCCTGGAAGTCTTTATTTAATAATGCCGTGTTATTACTATACTGTACATTGTACAATTGCCTTCAGTCTACTATACCGCGTGCCTAAGTCTATCCCTACCTTTGGTTAAATCGATGAGGTGAAAATTGAAAGGGATGTTGTTGGCTTTCATAAATAATTGCACAGCGCGACATGGCTGCGATGCAAGATGGCCATAAAAATCAATGCTCGACATTTTTCCTTCTTTCTCCGTTGGCAAGATCAGGCGACTTGTGGTGCGTAAGAAACTTTCCGATGACGCACCACAATATTTATAGACGCGCCTGCCACGGACGTACTGACTTCCAGTACAATGCTGCAGACTTTGACTGGTTTTGGTTGGTTTTATGATGACATTTTCGACCACTATTTCATGGCGACTTGGGATGAATTGAACGTATACGTATGGTTTGTATTGGAAATTGCAAAGAGATCAACTAAGTCAATAATGCAGTCCAAATTTAGAAAAAATATCAGGTGGCAATTGCTCAAGGTTATAGTGATCTGTATTCGTAAAATTTTAGCCCAATTGAAAGGCCTAATAAGGGGCTGCAGTATGGCTCACGCCCATACAACACTGTTGTGTAGTGGTGCTATGTACGACAATAATGCATATTGTGTAATTATTCTTCCATAATGATCAAAGCTGTTCAGTATCCTACTGTGGCCCAGAATGGCCAGACGTCAATTAAAATGCATTACGCTTTCAGCATAATAGGTTAGCTGACATTCTGCATCCACTAATGTGTACATCAGCTTTCGCCATGATAGCTTATTCACTGACATCCTGCATCGACTAATGTACATCAGCTTTGACCATGATAGCTTATTCACTGACATCCTGCATCGACTAATGTACATCAGCTTTGACCATGATAGCTTATTCACTGACATCCTGCATCGACTAATGTACATCAGCTTTGACCATGATAGCTTATTCACTGACATCATGCATCCACTAATGAGTACATCAGCTTTCGCCATGATAGCTTATTCACTGACATCCTGCATCGACTAATGTACATCAGCTTTGACCATGATAGCTTATTCACTGACATCATGCATCCACTAATGAGTACGTCAGCTTTCGCCATGATAGCTTATTCACTGACATCATGCATCCACTAATGTATACATCAGCTTTGACCATGATAGCTTAACTGACATCCTGCATCAACTGATGTGTACATTAGCTTTGACCATGATAGCTCAACTGGTATGCTGCATCAACGAATGTGTACATCAGCTTTCATCATGATAGCTCCACTGACATCATGCATCAACTGACGTACTTAGCTAATAAGCAATCATGAATTGATGGTGGAAGCTAAATTGGAAGTCTTGATGTGCAAGCTGAACAGCTTTGACTCTGAAAAATAGAAAGGGCAGTGGGAAATTTTGATCCGATTTGCATCATCATCCGAAGTAGCTACGTCCCTTTTACCATGAACTACTACAGATTTCATGCTGTACTGTAGTGTAGTGTACTACTAGAAATGAGTGCCGTAGTACTGGAGTGCTTTTACAGAAGTGTACAGTATAGTGTGTGTAGAACTGTACATGTGATACTGGAATGATAGGGAAAACGATAACAACAGACAGAATGTCCAGACAGACGCGGTGATAACAATAGTATGCCAAAGAGTATGTCATCTTACTGCTCCAGTATGTCATCTTGATATGATGATGGTGAAAATGTTGACATTTCATTTTACACATCTTTAGCTGTTTTTACGGTACAGTAGATTGTCAATCTTTTCTTTTCACACTGTACAGTACTGTACGTTAGTCTTTTAAGGTGCCAAAAAAAATTTCACCAGAGTCAACAAAAAAATGGTACGAATATAAAGCTGAATAATTCCTTGATCTATCTGTAGAGTGTACAGTATGTACTGTACAGTATATTCAATTTGAGTACTGTACTGAGAACTGGCTGACACCGTACAGTACAGTACTGTACCGAATAAGCTAGGCAAATTTCCTGGCCGATGGTTATACTGCGCACGCTCTGTCCAGGACCGTCCAGTACAATACCATTGGCTGTATCAGTACCACCGTACAGTACGGTACTGTACCAGATAAGATATCTGCGGTACAATACGGTCCATTACTGTATACATTGTCCTGTCATGGACAGTACGGTACGGTACTGGACGCCATAGCACAGCTGTTTTCACACGACGGTACTGGACGTTCCGAGCTAGAGCGCAAGACAACGACTGTCTACTGGACTGTACGGCGTATATATGGATACGGCTTGCAGGAACTTTTTCATTCTGAAGTGGCCGCTCTTGTCCATAGTGTTGACTAGTGGTGTACTCAATCCAGTGGTATTTGGACCTACTGTGACACAGTAGTGGTGGACACCATCAAGAGAGACGAAAGGTAAAAAAAAAGAGAAAAAGATTTTCATTGAAACATTGAAACTGCCACTAACATCAACATGGCCACCATAGCCAGTAACATGGAAGAGAGGAAATCAACGCCTAATAGCAACCTTATAAGTAATTTGACATTTAGTGAAGTGAAAAATTGCATTGAAGAAGCAATTACCACTTTAGTCAAGAGAAAAGCCCGCGCCGATGACGACAATATTATTAAGATGTTACAGAAGCGATTTCGAATACCCGCACAGACAACAATTAAAATTTTATCCAAATTAGTAGCTGATGGTAAAATACGCAAAGATAGCAGCCGTAGTGGTGGAGTTAAATATCGTATAGCCAATCGTATTAAGCCTAGGAAGAAAAGATCATCATCATCAGCCAACAATGATCGACCCCCCAATCCCAAAGCGAGTAGTAAAAGTTATGAACATCATCATAGTAGCAACAATCACGACAATGTCGCTAGTAGCAATTTACGTCGTAAAGGATATGTTATTAATACCGCGGAATTAACTCGAATGATCTACAATTGCTTGGTTTCTTGTCCCAATCCTGATGTGGGGGTTCACTTAAGATCCATTGAGAAATATATATCAAGCCATTATCAAGGTGTACTATTACGTAAGCACGTTAAAATGGCTTTGAAAAGAGCGATTAATAGCGGCAAAATACAAAAAATTGACAAATTGTATTATAGGATTAATCCAGAAGTTGTCAGTACCTTGGTAAGTCCAACATTGCTTTCATTCTCACTTGACTAAAGTAGACGAGACAAGGAATACATTCAATCTTCTATTCTATTCATTGTTGCCTAAAAATGCCACCGAGAAGGCTTCCAACAATCCTGCAAATGCTGTCTCCATTTTCACTAGCATTGTTGTCCATACTCTCATTTAGTCCACCATTTCGATCTTGTACACTAGTCTACCGTAGTAGACGGTACAAGGAATACATTCAATCTTCTATTCTATTCATTGTTGCCTAAAAATGGTGTCGAGAAGGGTTCAAACAATCCTGCAAATGCTGTCTACATTTTTACAAGTATTGTTGTCCATTTTCTATCTAGTCTACCATTTCTCTCTATCTTATACACTTGTCTACCCTTGCAGTATTAGCATGATATCGTGGAAAGAGGACAAAAAAGTAGTCAAGACAATGAATTCATAATGTCGTGCAGTGGTCAGAGTGTGAAATAAAATAGACAACGCAGAAAAATAACGATGAAATGAAATTAAAATAAAAGGCAAAAACAACATACAGTCGGTCCATGATAGTAGTAGAGTAGAGTAGAGATTGACATCTTTATGATGTCATTGCCTTATTCAAATTGCTTCATAAAACAAAGTTAGCAGTTAGAAAATTGCATGTTCAATCTAGCACCCTATCACCTCTTGCAAATATGAAAACGTCTATAACTTACGACCCTAGTACTTTGACCATTACATCGGCAATGCAACCTTGTTACTCTTTACAATATAGTTTATTAAACGGTATCTTTCCATTCAATTGAACTGAAACCGGTTTTAATTTTATTATTTTTTTTTTTTTCCTTCTCCTCTCATCATAAATTTGGCTCGTAGAATTTGTCAATCCATGGTTCCTTAATCAATTATCAGGAATTGGATGATTTGGTTTTAACTTTTATAGCTAATAATCCATCAGGAGTATTTTTTAAGGAAATTGTGAAAGAAGTTTCAAATGAGCATTCTGGTGCTCTCTTAGCTCGCTATATACGCCGATCACTCGATCAAGCAATCCAAAACAAACTAGTTATGAAAAATAAAGATAATCGTTATGTTATAATTGAAAAGGTGAGCATAACAACGACAATTTTTCCTCAACTATGACGGTAATTTAGTATTGAATAATTTTCTACATGTTGCAAAATACTGCAATACATACCTGATCGTACTCAACTAAAATACCAAGGACAACTCAAAATTTGTGATATGTATTCTGGATAATAAGAATAATAAGAGTTGCAATCCTATTCTAATACGGGAAATTCTTTATATTTCGCATTAGCAAGCGGCCAATATTATTAATAAGAATGTTCAAATCAGTAACCAAGACCAAGGCGACAAATGTTATTTATGTCTACAAGTTTCTAGTCCTATTCTTGATGATCAGGGTGACGTGATTATATTTTGCTCCGATTGTAGAAGAAAAGGTATTCAGTATAATAGTAGTTCATTTTAAATCTATTCTTCGTGAAATTTTTTTTATCACTACAGAGATAAGTGATGGATACATTGACCTGAGCCAATTCAATCGTTGTCTAAAATTGTTAATCAGTCTGTCAATGCTAATTTTTGCGGGGGAACATTTCTGTTATTGCTTTATAGTACATCCATCTTGCTTAGGATACAACTATCACCTAATTACCAAAATATTAGCCTCAGATAAATGGCAATGCAATGATTGTAAAATTTGTTTTGTTTGTCAAGAAGCTGGTCGTCCGGTTAGTATAAGTTACAAATTGATCATTTCCATTAGGCTCTATAATGGTACAGTAGTCGCGCATGGTAGAACTGTATATACGCATATAACATATAGACACTAGCGTGAAAATGACGTTATACTTTTAAATATAGGATAGCCTTTTGTTGTGCGATGCCTGTGATAAAGGTTGTCATATGGAATGTACAGATCCTCCGCTATCTGAAACTCCGAAAGGTATTGTTCATTTTTTTATTACATTAATTCTAGCGATTAAAATTGAACTCATTATATCGATAAATTTTCTCTGTATTCATAGTAATGAAAGCGTATGTCTTGAAAATAGGTCAATGGATCTGTCATTGTTGTCGTCGTGATGATACTTACGAAGAAAGCGGTTTATCGACTTCTTATAATAATGTATCAAACTACGGTAAATGTTTTCAACATTAGCACCGATATCCATTTACCAGAGAATAATTTACTTCTTTCCGGCTACTAATTCACACTTTACCCTATTAGGCAATGCAACAAATGGTGGGTATTGTACCGAATCATCCCCCTCGGCTATGTATAAATCAAAGAAACTCATATCAAGACGAATTATTGAAAAATTAACTGATGCAATACAGGTTTTGAAGATATAACTTAAAATATGCTGACAATATTAGTACAACATAGGTTACAATCAACTGAATTTTATCTACGGTTATAAATTAGGATCTTCCCAATCCGCTGGAATGGAAAGTGTCCGATGTAGCATTAGTTTTTCAAAAGCTCGGTTTTGCTGAATTTAGCCATGTATTTTTAGTTCAGGTTATCGCGCACATTAAGCTGCTTTTACTTTAATCAGAATTCACTTATTATGATAAATTTACCGCACAACAACTGATTATAATTTTTTTTTATTATTTATTGCAGGAGATTGATGGCAAAGCACTTTTCCTGTTAAATAGATCAGACGTTATATCGGCCTTGGGACTAAAATTAGGACCGGCTTTAAAAATATTTTCGTATATTGATATTCTGCAATCAAGTATGAAAGCATCAGGAATTACTTTGTATTAATGTATTTGTATGGTAGGTTATTCATCATCTGGTATTAACGTCAATATTACAACTTTGTTCGTTTTGTAATTTTTTGATGGTATGCATATAATGCAGATTTGGCGATAGGGCACCTAGGTGTATTTGTTGGACAAGGAATCGTTCATTTTATCCTTAATACTTTATTAATCTATGATTATTTATATTTTATGTTTCCATGCTCTATGTCATGAAATTATTTCACTAAGATTCAACCGATTACCTGAATAGATTATGTCCTTATAGCCCTACTGTGGTATTTGGGTATGCTAAAGATAAAGTTACGAAAAGTAATTTTCTACCTATAATACTGATAAAAAAATTAATATAATACTTTTTACTGTATAAACCTAACTATATTGTGCTGTACTGCGAGAATTCTTTTCTTACCACGAATGTTATTGAAAGTATTGCACGTTATTTAATTATCTCGTTTACCGACATAATCGTTTGAGAACAAAAATTCTTATTGCTATCATAGCGAATGCTAGAAATGCTAGAACTGTTATGAGTGATTGTAAAATGTTTTAAATTCTTTTGTAAAAAGCTCGAAACGATGCTCGATAAATTAGTTATGGGCATTATACGATTGCTTTAAATCATCAGGTTTTATACTGTCTTCCATTATAGAAGAGGAAGTTGTTACTGATACTGATTGACAACAAATTAGCATTAATTGGTCTTAGCAACAAGACTGCCTATAGTTCAAAAATTCCGTTTTAATTAAATGAATACCTTATTATTGGCCATATTCAAATTGTACTTCTAGCTATGGTACAATCATTAGGCGTATACTTGAAATTAATCTCCCATACTGTTTGTGCAGCTTGTAAAATTGCCATTCTATTGACATTTGTTATTTGTTCGCGACTGATGAACAAGATATGTAATGCGTAAATATTTTGTTAACGCATCAATATTAAATGCAAGAAGTTATTCTCTATATCACTCTTCGTGTTAGACAATTAATTAATAAAAACATGGATCAAATATTACACTCCTAAAGCTGTGAATACTTTGATTGAATTGAATGTGATTTTATTTACAGGATGTGTATGTCCGTATAGACGTTAACGGATTATAGATGGAGACAATGAATGAGATAGTATAGAGCATTGCTATACTTTGATTTGGGTTTGATTTACTTTCGTAAAAGTTTACTCCTAACTTCTAGCGATAAATGTTTTTGTGGATTGCTGACTGAATATAGCACTGTACTGTGTATAATGATGATAAGACTGACATTTAGGTAGTTGAAGGTAAAATGTTTTTAATTAACTTATTTCTTAGATTTATTGTTTATTTCATTTATAACTAGAATATTCAATTTAGGCTAGAAAAAGGCGTTTATCGGTACTATTGGCTCAGCGTTGGTGAAAATGCGCGTATACAGTACTCGCATAGTTAACCATTTGGTGTTGATTTTCACTATTTGTCTCACACTGTAATAAAGTAATAGAGCTTGGTCATCCATAAATCTTCAATTAATTGTTAAACCCTGGCCAAAGCTACGCTAGGTGTTCGGGGCCTTACATTATGGTTGATCCCTGCTAGATTAGGAAAAAGTCAACCAACTAAATATTCAATTAATAAACAATAATAATATTAAAATAGCGCAGATTGTGTTGCAGCATGCAGCACCGTAGAATGATTTCTGCAGAAATGGAATCAATATTAATATTTTCAATTTTATGCCCATAAATCGATGATAGTACTGTTGTAGATATAGTGCTGCGTTTACTTCAAGCAGTCTTAACAGGGTTATAGTAATCAAATTTTGAAATTATTTCTCCATCGGCGGTCAAAACACTGTATGTGTACGCAAGTAACGCATCAGTTCTATACAATATGACTATCATGGATAGATCGAGTTGAAATTAGCTACTTGGTGCAACGCATGTTGCACTCCCCATCTCCGTAATCTTTCATAGTATGTGTTATAAAGTATAGTGCCGTACTGAACAGTATATTGCTATCCAATATTGGTAGGCGATACACAATTCCTGCCAGGTCTCGGGAACGATACGGTACGGTACGGCACGGTACTGCAACTACTGTACCGGATCGTTTCGCTCCAGTCAGTCGAGGATTCCATAGAGTAAACGACGAATCGCCATCATGGCGTCCATCAACTCGAGCGATGATACAAAAGAGGAAAATAACCAGGAAATAACCGCCAAAGTCAACACTTTTTCCAACGATGGAAGCTTTCTAGAAGTGTATAAAAAGAAATTACAAGAAATGGAATTCGAGAAACAGAGAAAAGAGGAGAAAACCAAGAAAAAAAATGAAGCTAAATTAAAGAGATTAAATAATCAGTTGCAGGTGCAGGCATGAGCAATCTGGTGTAGTAATAGATGGTTGTCTATCCTACTTCTTTTCCTACTCTACTGTAGGATGAAGTCACAGTTGAAAGCATTCTAATCCAATCCTTAAATTTTGGATGACAATGATGCACAATTAGACTAGACCACAAGTTGTACTCTGATGTGCATACAGTCTGCAGTCTTAATCTTGTACCAGAGAACGATTCCATCATCCATTTTAGATCGTTACTATTGCATTGTTTTGATCGCCATCGACTTGCAAAAAAAATTTTTAGAACAGTTCTTGGATGATATATCAAGTTCAAACACCAAGTTACAGCGACAATCTTAGCAACAACAGAGTTATTAATTAGCAAGTTTCTAATTTCTAGGCCAAGAGAAAAGGTACCTCACATGCCTCAAAGGACGATTCAAAAAAGCAAAAGCAAGATCAAGTCAGTTGATATGCGTAGTTAATAAAATCCGTAGATAAAACTGTAATCATCATAAAATTAAATGGATGATTCTTCTTGTATTGATTAGTAAAATCGTCAATCATCATAGAAATGAACAAATTGTACTTTACTAGGGTAGAATTTTCAACCTTTAACATATCACTGACTCAATCTAAATGATTCTGCACAAACCCATCATTTATTGATCTATCCATTGATTAATTATTATGGGTGATAGAAATGAAAAGTAGATATTGAATAATCACATCAGCATCGACTATAATGTTATTTTAGTCCATGATAGAAATGAAGAAATTGTACTCTATTGCAGTCCAATTTAATATTCGACATCACTACCGGCATTAACTAGTATATTATATTAGTCGATGCTAGAGATGGACAAAATTGTACAGTACCTTATGCGAATCTGTAAAATATGGAACATCACCATCGACTGTAGTATTACTTTAGTCCATGATCAATAGAACAAATTATACTTTGTTGCAGCTCATTTGATGTTCGACATCACTATCAGCATTAACTACTATATTAGTATTTTAATCGATTCTAGAGATGGATAAAATTGTACCTTACGAGCATCAGTTTGATATCGAACATCACCATCGACTATAATACGCTCATTTAGTATTTTAGTCGATAATTAATTATAATTATATAATTGAAATGAACAAGCTAGACAGTACTAGAATTAATTTTTAATATCGGACATCACTAACGGTATCAAACTGCATTATTATTTCAATCCGATGATAAAAATGAACGAATTGTACATTGCTAGAGTTGATTTGATTCCGGCAGCATCAAGCTGCACTACTACTTTATTCCAATGATAGAAATGAACAAATTATGTATTGCTAGAGTTGATTTTTGATTCTAACGTCACTAGCAACATCAAACTACAATACTATTTCACTCTGATAGTAGAAATGAATAAATTATACATTAACAGAGTTGATTTTTGATTCTAACATTACTGGCTGGATCAAACTGTACTACTATTTTAGTCCAATGACAGAAATGAACCAATTGTTGTTTATTACAGTTACTTTTTTGATATCTAATCAAATAGTGTATCATAGACTCTTTTCGAATATATACTAATGCACTGATTCATGTAGACTCTTTAGATAAAACTGCAGAAAATGGTCAATTATGATAATTTTCCAGTCATTAATTCGACCGATATCTATAGTTATATATATATTGATGAATTAATTAGTATTAAATCTTGAACATATAACTTCACAATGTACCTGACATGATTGTTAATGCAGTTACTGTTTTAAAGATTCGATTGATCGATATCGTACATTTTAATATGTTACACTACATACGCGTACTTTACTAATTAATTTACACTAGCGTTACTGCTGTTTAATGGTATAGTTTTAGTGACACATTTTTGTTCAGAAATCAGGACTGTGACTGGTAACTAATTCACAAATGTAATAGCAGTATGTTGGTCTTAAAATCAAATTTTAGAACTATCATAATTATTGGATCCTGATCGCAATTAAACTTATCACATTGCTTACTATTATTTTGCAATTCAATTCTATAGAAGTACTGTTTGTAAAATAATCATGCTGTAGTTTAATTAAATATCACAAATAGCTAAAATGCTCTTACTACTCATCCGTAACAGTATCTATATACTAAATTACTAATATAGGACGACAGTGAAAAATCTTCTGCATGGAAGGCTTATATGGCTGAAGTTGACAAATATAAATCCCAAGTATGCACGGATGATTCAGAATCTATTCGACCCTTGGTGAAATAATCACAATACAAAATTGGATAGCCATTGGCTATGTGTAATGTGTTACCTTAGTACGTTTTACAATACGTAAGAAGGTGCTTTTTTAATAGACGCCTAGTTTATTGGCATTAATGATGATATACCGGTGCATCAACAATATGTGCACAATTGTGGCTATCTTAGTATTCATGGCATGCACTTACGTAATCTCCTAACATTGTAATTATTTGCTGTATATTGATTACATGATATAAAATAGTAGCTTTAGAAATGACTGTACAGTGTCCTAATGTAATATTTTCGTCTAAAATTTTTTCACATTTATATATCCTTATGTCATTTTTGTTCGTATCTAATCGGCCTTAAAGCGACTACGAGCGACGATTTAGTGACTATATTAGTTTAGCTGTTATCGATCAATTGATTCAAACTTTATTAGATGACTAATCACCGGTTGGTTGTTGAATATAATGATGATATAGGAAGCAGTAATTTGGTTAACTTCAAATGTCATTTAGTCATTAAAATAGATTTTCCCTGCTTTGTTTTTGAACTTTTTCTGCATTATAGGTTTGTGCTAATTTTGTGCATTGGAGTTTGTCGTTTACAAAAACTTCGGCGTTAGTCTTTACTACTTGATAATAGCGATAGGTAATTTATTACAGTAATAATTGTACTGTACAGTATATATAAATCTAAAGTACAATCACACTTGCTGCTAAATTTTAATACGGCTAAGCTAATGTAGCTTTGACCAGCAGTAACAAACTGTGGAGCAAGCTACGGAAGCCCAGATTTCGGTGAATCGTTAAACAGCAAACGTAGTTGGTTACGACCCTACAGTTGAGTCCAGTGTAATTCTAGCATCAGTCAGACTTGAAATTTGAATACAATTAAAGAGATGACTAGAAGTAGCAATACCACAGATATACGGGTATAGGTCCGACATACTTGCTTGTGTAAAAGAATACAGCGAAATAAGAGCTACTATAATTATTATTAATATTTGTTACTCTATAATAAATATAAATTAAAAATGCGATTCACTAATACTCTATACTTTCGAAGTTCAATGCTATTTAGACTAGTTTCGTTAGTGGTAAATTAATCAATGTGAATAGTAAGTAAACACAAAAATAAACAAACTCTGCATAAAATTGAAATCGAAAAGGTCATTCAATATACTCAATGTGAGTACAAAGCTCTATCTGGCGTTAAGAAAATACATCCTATCGTACACTTTACAATAAGTGCAAACAACGCGTAAGAAATATTCATGAAAAGTTATTACTTATCATCAGAAAACACTAGTGGGTCAAGAGCGGATTCAATCAAAACTGAATCTTCAAAAGTAAATTTGAATAGATGTATTCGTACTATAAGCTAATTTATTTCCAGTAGAAAATAATCTAAAGTGATCTTACCTTATTTGAACCATTGAATTATAGTTAAAAACGGAATAACTAATTTAACCACCGTAGTTAATAGAATTACAATACAGTAATTGCTGTTATAAAAAATTTTGAAATAGTAGGCTTGTATCTTAGTTACACATATGGATGTAATGATTTAATAACTGTAGTCGTAAGCTTAATCGAAGCTAATAAATCGATTTATAATTATATAACTGGATAACTAGAGATTGTTTATAGAATCAAGCTATTTTGAAACTCTTTAACGGATAAGAGTGATGTAAAGTCGTAATAGGAGTACGCGAAAAGGTATAGCTTCGGTTAAATTAATTCACTGGTGGCAAATTAATAATTGATAAGAAACAAGACAGCTAAGAGGGAAAGTTTTTAATACACGAAGTATCAATCAGATACAGTGGATATATCAAGTATAGTTTTAGATGAAATCAAGGTTATTGAACATAACTGTCAGCCGATCAAAATAGTTTAAAAGTGAATGGATAAGATATAATGCGGTATCATAGCATAAATAGCATATCTTGTTTGCATACAACGAAATCAATTTTAATGTTCATATCTAACAGTTATTAGCTCATTATTATTCAATATTCACGTACTTAGATTAGAAACTATAGGATAGATACAAATCCTAGAGTAAATTAAAGTTTAAAGCAGTAAATGGATAACCCTAAAGTATTAATGCTTTATCTCAGTTTACTATCCAAGAAATATAAATACTAAAACGAAGATTATGGCACATCTGATATTTCAGTCAATCTTACCAGTAACTCATAAAGATACCTCTGAACATTAAATTCAAGCCGTCATGCTGTATAATAAGTATGAGTAGAAGCTAATCTTAAATCTAAACGATAAGAATAAATAAACTAAAAGTGGATATTAGCTTAGTAGATGTCATTATACCATTAAAATTAGCAGAGCCGATTTGCCGGTATAATGATATCATCAAGATAGAAATGGAACACGATATAACATTGCCATATATAATAAAATCCTCATACAGTAGACAATCATTGCAGAAAGGATAAAACACTTTTTATCGTCAATATCGCCAACTGATTAAATCTAGTTAAGCATTTGCAACCATATAGAATGATTTACCATGAATTACTATCGGAACTAAATATTCGTACTATAGACTGTTTATATGTCTGTATAATCTAGCAATGACAAAATTAAACCTTTTCTGCCCATTCTACTGTTATAAATTAACCAGGCTATACTGGACTGCTATTTTGATATGTTAAATATATATTGAAATAAAATGAAGAATAGACATGAACTCATCATCTCTATTTTCAATCACTGTCATACTGTATATTGAAAATAGAATGAATAGATATAAGCTTATTTTTAACGAATTTAATCACAATTACAAGATATCTAATGTATATTCGGACGTTTTGAGAGATCTTAGCGAATAAATTAGGATAAACATCGACATTTAAATCGGATAAGCAAATGCGAGATTATTATTTGGAGCATTTCATAGCTATACATTCTGTGGCAGCAATATGACGATGAGTGAGTTAGACGATTAGGAAGGTAGTTTCGATAGTCTTTATGAAGTAGACGATAGTGCCTGTTTTACTTAGCTACGTCAAATGTTAAATTAAGAAATAGCAAGTACTGCCTACCCTATAATAAGGGAATTAGAAGAAAGATAATAGCAGCCATATGATACAGCTAACTGTAGTCATTTTCAAGAGTAATCCTGTCAAATTAGTTTCCATTACAAAGAACATAACAACAAACAGTAATCCGAAAGAATTTGGCCTTGATCATTACATGGTGAGCATTTCACTTATTTGACATTCGTTTCCATGTCCTCAATAACATAAAGAGGTTAAGATTTAGATTAAGAATTAGATGACGGATAATAATACTTATTTAAGGTTAATGTCCTTGTCTTTACCAATAAAATTAAGATGCTTAATGTTGACGAACTAAAAAGAAAAATCTTTCACTTTTGGAATGGTAAATATTCTTGACTTTATATCAGAAGATAAAGACACCACAGCATCCAATCCAAAATTTCACAAAGGGATTATTCTAAGTTGCTGTCGCCATTTCTTGAATGGATCTCTGGCGTTAGGGTGAAAATTATTTTAACAGTCTTGATTAAAGCAATGAAGTCGATTAACTTGATCAAAATAATTTAATTAAATTAGTATAGAATGCGTCCAATCCAGTCCTTTACGAAAAGATTATTACTAATTATCGCTTTTTGAATGGTTCTCTAACGATAAGGCGAGAATCTATTGCAAGTCACGATTAATTTAGAAGTTATCATATCAAATTGGTACAGAATAGACCGATAATGACTGGATTATTTGATGGATTGAAAGCTGATTATAACTGATAAAACTTCACCTATTAGTGATTAATCTACGTATGTAGCAAATACGAGTCCAATAGCAAAGATCGTTTCATTGGTGAATGTAGCCGATGCATAATTATCAAAATCACTATTCCACAAGCAACGACTGGCAACATTTGTGCCTTGTCCTCTGTTTTGGCCTAGCCATATTGATGTTACAATTTTATAGCGTTCTAACTTTTGCCGTAATTTAACTTCATTTTGGATAGTTTGACTCATTTCGATAGATAATTGGCCACCATGAATACTGCTGTAAGATCTATCCTTAAGATGATCAGCTAAGACATCATAAATAATTCCATTGACCTCATCAACTTTAAACTTATGTCGTGGCTCAGTTTGATAGGTAGGAACTTCTTTCTGCTCTTTTTCGAAAATTTGCCTACTATTTGAATTACTCAGTGCTGGTCGAGTACTTACAGTCGATCTTCGATGTAAAAAATCAAAGTAACGGCTACTACTTTTGCTCATTTCTTTAATAACGCTATGACGCTTATCACTTACACTATTTTCAGGTACAAGACTTGCTTTCTTACTAGCAAAGCAATTATGAGACACGCTAGTATGCATATTAGTGGATAAATTAGAACTCATTTTTCTGCCTTGACTTGGTTAATAGGTTGCTGTAGTATGAATTTCTTTTCGGTTGGAATTTTTATCAATGGATGGACATTCACAATCAAAATTTTTCAATCGACAGTGTGGCTGCAAGTTACAATGAATTATCGAATATGGCGAAATAAATATTATTTCATCTATTTCATTGGATACCACTCTTTTGGTACAATCAACAGTATTCGATCAATATCACCATTACATCTTTTCAATTGGTCTCTAAGTCTCTTGCTGAGAATTGGACAATGTAAAAGTTGTTTTACTACCACCTATGGCCGTCATTTTTAGAAGTTTTAAGAACAAAATCTCTTTGTTGTATTGTTTTTGGTCATAATTATTCGTTACAATTTGATCATTCATTATCCGCAATACTAAATTCAAGTCGGCACTATCCATAGTCTGCTATCATACTTTTCTATACCTACTTTGAAATCAAATTGATTTACTGGTAAAATGAGTGGTTAAGTGGCACCATATGACATAAGAGTGGCATGGAAACTAATCCGTTTCCTTGTAATGTATTGTTATTATGAATGAGTTCTAGTACTTCCAATGATAAATTATTGATCAAGAGCTATTTTTATGTTCTCTAGCTCTTTTTAATTAAATTTATTTATAAGCTAGTAAAATTAGGCGATTAGCTGATATTGATAGTATAAGAAATAGGAATAGTATAGGTACCTTTTGATCGTGCAGCATAGCGACCGAGGGATTACGTACTTAGAATAATCTATCATCGAACATCATTCTATGAATCGTGTCCCTTTAGTATATCGAGTTAGGAATGGGATACACGGCAGAGTTGTTAAGATATGCTATCAGGTGATATAAGTGAGCCCTATTTGGAGAAATTAGCAATTTAGAAGGAAAATCTCCGTATCTATTAAGCATATCTATTCTCGCTTGTGGCGTACAGTATTATGATGAAACATGAGTTACCTGTAGTAATAAATTATGGCTCAAATACCTTTCTTTCGTTTGCATGTTTAATCTAGGATAAATATAGAAGCTATTTAAATGGAATATTATATAAATAATGATAGCTAAAGTTGATCTAATACAATTATGGTTATTTTAACTCAATGGACAGAATAATGCTTCTCTTTTCTTGTAAGATTCAATGGGCTCGTTGTAATCATCATCATAATTCATTTTATGATTAATACTTTACTTATGTAAACCTGATTTGTAATGTATTATGAAGGTAGTAGAAATTAAAATGCCGAATGATAAATCTATAATCTATCTAGCCTATCTGAAAATAGGTATAATTTATTAGTAGTAAGAAGACCACTACTTATCTATTTCCTAAGGCTATACTGTGATTAATGCAGGACTTGCAATAATAACATTACACATTATACTATAAATAGTATTATTTTCGTTTTTGTGTTCTAGAGAGGAAATAAATCTATAAATTAGTAAAATGGACTACCAAACGGTAAGAATTGTGGCCTATGGAGTATTTGTGTAGGGAACAAGAATTAATCAAAGTCAGAACGCCATAAGTACTTATCCATTTCCTTTGCAGTATATAAATGATTAATGAATTCTAATAACGAATTTAGGCATTGTGATATAAATAGTGAAATTTTCACTTTCACACATCAGATTAGAACATATAAACCAGTAAAATATGAGCTATCAGCCAGCAAGAGTTGCAGTCTATGAGGGTATATATAATTAATGGAGGCAAAACTATCATTAGTGTATCTATCGATTTCCTTACATGCATTATAGTATAAGTAGGATTAATTCTACTGTTTATAAGGCTGGAGATATATTTAAAACATATTAAAAATGAACTATCAAACGGTAAAAGTAGCTTGTACACATGTAGCTATACATAAATATTAGAATAGCAGCTTAGATAAATATTTATATTTTTTGTAGCACATGCAAGCAGCGATTAATAAATTGTTTATAATATTAAATCGTGAATTATACTAGGATTAGTACCATTTTTGTTTAAAATATCTGGATAGAAAGGAATCTTATAAGCAATAAAGATGAACTGTCACATGGTGCCACGGGCAATAGTTGAAGCCTGCCTGGCAAATACATAGGTGTAACTGGTGCGCTGTAAGTGAGAACAATATAAATAAGTATCTAATTTCTTTTGGCGGTATGATATTATGATTACTAGACCATAAATCACGATTTAAATCATACATATCAATATCTTTACTTCGTATATGGTTAAGAATAAATTAATAAACTAACAACGATGAGCTAACCAATTTCAAAAGCTGAAACCTACTTTCAGTACTACACACTAAGATTTACGTAGCTTTAGAGCGAGAGCAACATAACTACTATCTATTCCTTTTGCTGTACGTTATTACGATTTGTAGGTTATATTGGGGTAATTGGTCAATATAATATTGCGATTAATGCATTACAACAATAAATCATGAACTTTGCAATTATTTTATTTTATTTTGTTCATATTTGGCTAGAAAAGAATACATAAGGAGTAAGATGAGCTAACCTATAGTAATAGTTAAGTTAATCTAGTATCCACATAGATATACTATTACAATTAAGAACAGGAGAGCTTTCTATTTCCTTTATGATATTTTATAATGATTAATGAAGTACTTGCAATAATGAATCATGTATTTTGCTAAGATTAGTATTGTTTTTACTTTGTATGTCTGATCAGGAAGGAACTCTTATAAGTTATAATAATGAGCTGCAAAACAGTAAGAATCAATGTCAATCATGTATACACGTAGGTATAAGTAGTTATTAGAAATAACAACAGTAAACGTACCTGGTTGTTTCCTTTGTGGATAATATTATAACTGATAATTTATTTTTAGTAATAGATCATGTGTCATTTTTATGAATAATATTAGTTTTACTTGGTATGTCCGGAGGGATAAGAAATATAAAACAAGAATAGCGAAAGAGACGATCAAAGCATTGATGAGAACTAGAGGAATCATGGATAATTCAGTCATTATTACAATGTCAATTAATTGAAGTTTAATATTTTAAATTAAAATAAATTCTATAACTGATCTCTTCATAATTTTACTTCTTTCAGTCTAGGCTAATATTGTAGAGCACTTTACCCGGGTAGCCCTTTATATACAAGGAGAATGTAGACTATATTTTGTACAATTAAATAACATACCCATTTTTATGATCTCTGGCGATTCTTTAGTTTCCATTAAGACTGCAATGTCAATGAAATACAGATGATAATGATTACAGTAAGGGTTCTTCTTCATCATGCTGTACAGAAATGACTATTAATTCAGTTTCAAACCCTTAGTCGTAATTTAGTTATAAAGTATTTATGGACTAGTTAAGAGCAATTGACACTGTATAATCCAATCAAAGATTTGATAAATAGGATATAATGTATTCTCTTTAACGAGAAAAAACACGATTTGAATTGTTTAATTATAAAATAGATCCATTATGATATGATGGATAGAAAGCAGTAAAACACGATTCTATAGAAAGTATAAATTTTTTAAATAAAGACTAAAATTATGTTAATGCAATCTCCGCTGATTTTAAAGAATAGAAGATGTCATAGACAGTTTCCTATAATTTAAAGTATAATATACCTGACTAACTAGTAGAATTTTGCAAAAGTCGTGAGTTGTTGCTTTTAATAATCCTAATATCCGTCAGAATATATCATTCTAACACTTATGCAGTATGAATCCACTTGTGCCTATGCCGGTACTAATTACTAAACACATAAAATCTCGATCTTGGATGCTTTAAAAAAAACGTTGAAAAGTACTTTAACATTTCTAGTAGGAAAAATATCAAGTAATATAAGCAAGCAAACGTAATTCTTTATAAAAAATGTATTAGAAATAAGATTTTATATCCAGTGCTTAGAACTGAAATCACTGATTTAAGACTTGACATACTTATATCACATTATATATGAAATATCGATCTACATTTTCTTCTGCATCAAGCACAGATACCCCACTAAGCTGAAAGAATTTCAGTAATATTTATCATAGCTTATTTACATTGTTAATCTGTATACTTACTTTGTCGGCTTATTTGCTTTATTCAAAATCTCACGAAGTAGATGACTGATCGATAGAATTTTAATAATGTTTATCATACTATATTTGTATTATTTACTCACTAGTAGCCTAACGCTAACAACATACGTACTCATTCAGTCAATTCGTTCTATTCAGAGGCAGCAATAGTACCAGTATATTAACTCTAATAGGAGCATATGGAAATTATTTCTCTACTAAATCGATAACTGAAATTTTATCGGGATACCTAGTCTAATAAACAATGCAGATTCCTCTAAACCGAATCAATGATCCATATCATATTCCTATTTCTTGCAAGCAGGATGTGTGACATCATCGGAAAGGTTTCGAGAATATTTTCTATTTCATGTTAAAACTATTAATCAAATAGATATTTTAATCAGTTGATTGATTACTGTATACCTCAAATTGGTAGAAATATATTTAAGCAAGTGGATAAGTAGTTTCTTGTCAGAATTAGTATTGGGTTCTATACAAAATCAGTGATCTATTCATATTTCTAGTTTATTACAGACTAAGCGAGATAACTGACAGAATTTCAACGATATTGATCATATCACGTTAATACTCAGTAAATCGGACAGCGTATCCTATCAGTCAAATCACTTAAATTCAGAAGTTGAACTTAATATATCAGTTGTAATATGAACAAAAATAAGAGTTATTTATTAGCAGTACCAATTAATAATATCTAATATCGTACCATATTAATCAGAGTATCTGCTGCAATAGATACTTCACAACTAGATAGAATCAGCTATCAATTTATGTTCTTCATTTTTCGTATATAACAGACGCAATGCTATCAGAAGGATTCCTATAGCACTACTCATGCTATACTAATATTGCCAGTCGGATAACATGCTTTACCCATTAATTTCGTAATTAATTATTAATTAAAAAGGCAACCTATGAGAATAAACGGCCTGCATTGCTTTAAATATCAAGTAATAAAATACTGGATAGCAATTTAAGTTCAAAACTGAATATTAGTGAACAAAAGGCTGTTTCATGGCCGATTGGATCAATTGCTGTTATTAAATCGCAGATATCTCGTTTTGTATGCATACAGATCTTATAGCAGTATCAGATTTATCTTTCAAGAGGGTATAACAACTATATACGGGATGCCTTTTTTCTTGTTAATATTTTTATTAGTTATATAAGGTACCTAGACAGTAGTACAGGGCCAATCTATGGATTAAAGAGTGGGTTAAATTGGTAATTGTTAATTGCTTTGATATCAGCTTAAATCTGAATTTAATATCGTGTTCACAAATGTTAAGAATGTTTAGTTGTTTTATGGAAAGATATTGAACTCCACTGCATACTATAAGCAATTAACTCGTTTATTACTCACCTATATTAGATACCTAACAATGATTCAATTATCGGTACTTCAAAAGTAACTATAATAAAGCTGTTAAATTATAGCTGGCAACCATGCAATCACTTAGCTTCTGAACCTTCTACATAAATACATAGTGCTAAATCAATACCTTAATTGAAGCTTTATCGTATGTATTGTAAGATTAAATCAACTGCTAGCGAAATTTATCATTCTGATTGAAAAATAATTAGTTTACTTATTTATCCTTGATTTTAAATTACATGGACGGTAAAAGGATTCTCTAATAACAATAAGACATTGAGTCCCAATGATTGCTTTCTTAGTATACAGAAAAAGTAATTTGCACAAATAGATGGTGTTTTCAAGGATAGCTATTAGCTAACAATTGGTATTATTGCAGTTGGAGTAAAGAGAAGAAAATAAATTTAATTCTACTATTTTCGTTCATAATTAAAACATCAATTATAACTGCTTTTTGCCAGTTGGTTATTAATCATAATTTCAGTATACTTTAAGTACTTTATAAATGTAACATTCACTTTAAATTGTTAAGCAATTGCTCTTACTTATATGAGTATAGCAAAATATCTGGATGTGTTTAATTAGTATTTATTATCGTTGCTGTAGTAACATTTAACTATATCATTGATTTACTTTTGGTGGTAATATAGTAACGGTATCTAGTCAATACCCTAAATTCTTTGGCAATCATTCTGACGACCAAGCTAGAGTAGAAGTAGAATATAGTGGGATAGCACCGTATTTCGATACAAGAATACTGAAATAATTTCACAAAGTGTGAGATAGTCTATTGGTATGATCGATTTAATTAATACTTGAAAGAAATTGGCGCTCGTTAACAGGAAAATAGACAATAATTCTATCGAATTTTCGTAGCAGTTATAATTTTTTAGAGCTCATTCAATTGAAATTGAAAATTTAATAGTATAAATTAACAATCACTCGTAGTAGTAGTTAGGGTACTGTGATAATATAAGTTAAAACTTGGACATTAATTGAAAAAACACTTTTAAAACAAGCTTGACTCCTATAAAAGTTCCTAATTGGCTTATTTGTTCAACTTAATTTTCCTAGTCAACAGAAAATGAACTAAAAATCGCTTTCTAACTACTTACACAACGAAAGCATAAATTTATATTTTTAACATGTTATGGATAGTAAGATTTATTTACAGATACTTTCATGCATTTCAGGATGCTAAAAGTGTCTATTTATCTATATATACATTATTGATGTAAGGCATTAACTTGTATGTTATTTTTCAACAATTGTATAAAGTTATAATTCATTCCTTCTTTCTATCCAATATAGTAATATTGTTATAATTGAGTAGGCAATACATTATCCTACAAGTAACATACATTATATGTGGGCACATATACATTTGCTATGGAGAACAGAAAACTAATTTTACTCTACGTTTTAAAAATCATAGAAAGCCTTTCAACAATTTAATTCAGATAACGTGCTGTAATAAATTGTAATGCAACAGAGCAGGCAAAATAAAATTTACTGTAAATGAGAAATTAGAAACGTCATCTAAGATTAGAACAAGGGGGAAAAAAATCAGTTTTAGTTCCTAATTATATTATTTTATTCCTATTTTTTATTCTAAATAGATCCCATAGACAGTCGCTACGGCAAATAAGGAAGCATTTTGGTAACTATGAGAGGAAAAATTATCGTTACTTGGATCCCACAAGCAACGACTACCCAATTTGACACCTTGATTGGTTAATTGGCCAATATAAACTAACGAAACCAACTTGTACCGACGTAAGTTGAGATCTTTGACTCGGCTTCGTATTACTTCTGATACAGTTTTTGTCATTTCACGACACACTTCCGAATCATAAGATTCGTTTTGTAAGTAAGATTCTAATACATCTTGCACGATTGATTTGATAGCAGCTGATGGAAAACGTACATCCGGATCCATTTTATAAGTATTTTCCTTATGATGTAATTGACTGCGTGTATCTTCATGACTTTGTGGGTGGATTGGTTGTTCTGATGCCATGCCGCTTGTCCTAAGGATAGGATGTTCCGACGTAAAACTTGCTTTCTTTTTTAACAGTCGAGCTGCTCGATCTCGAGCTTCAGTAGCACTTCTTTGGATATCTGTCATGGTAGTAATTAAAACGATTGACGTCGGTGAATTCTGTCGAAAGGAAATTCTTCCAGCAATAGTCACTGTAGGAATTAAAAAAGTCGAAATATTGACGTTGTCAAGTTATTGACAGTTCTATTTTAATCTTATCGAATGCTGAATCACACTCTTCTACTAATTTACGATAGTGATGGAGTTTGATTCCTTTAATTTTTATAATAGAAGTGGCAGCTTTTAGGTGAGTAAAAGAGGACGACTAATTCAATAAAGAGCGATGTCTTCGATTTATCGCCCCCTGCAGTTTTGCAAAACGTTGCTATGCCAACTAATTGAGTAACGAATAGCATCTAATTAGCATTATACAGTAAATACTACAGAATATAGATGTCGTAATTGCACTGTATATATATAACATGTTCCATCAAATAGAACTACGTAACGGTAATCCTATTGTGTAGAGAACAATCTACTAAATGCAATAAACTATAGCAGTCTATGTTCCATGCTCTATTGCCTTGTATAATTAATTAATCCGCTGTCCTACTGTTATACCATCCAGTAGAATTGCTGTTGCATAACGAAGGCAGCTCCATGGGCATACATTGTGTGATAGTCTTCGCGACACCGTGTTGTACTTCTCGTAATTCCATAATTAGTCTTCAATTGACACAGCAAGCATTTTGTCTGGGTATTTAAAGCCTTATACAATTTGCTTCACGGATTAGCGATTCATTTCACATTATTGAGAGGGTATTAGTGCAGTTAGCTATTTTGTATCGTATCGAGAGTCCTAGAAATTGATGTATTGTATGATGGACAGCTCATTTTACATTAATTAGCGTGGCGCTAGTGGAGCAAAACATGTGTGTCTAAGTTACCTATGTCACAGAGAAAGTGTATCAATTACTAGCAGTAGTGTAATTCACAGTAATCAATTAATGTGAGTCTAGAGTATCAAAACATGTTGTCTAAGCGATTAATGTCGTGAAGAGGGTGTAATGGTTATTGACAATTTATTTTATATTATTAGCAAGCTATTAGCGCAGCTAACATGTAATTTAGAAGGTATCCAGTGTTCTAGAAAGCTTCTGTGAGAGTTTAATGTCGTAGGGAGGCTACAGTGATTATTATCTATTCATTTCATATTCATGAATATGATATTTGGATAGCTAGCAAATACCGTAGTCCACACAGTATCTAGAGTTGTAGAATGCTTAATTACGAACAGACAATGCAATATTCATCGGTATCTTAATGGCACAGTAAAATTTTTAACTACGTGTTTACAGTAAGAGGAGACCGTAGGAAGGTGTACTTCATTCATATTAATTACTGTACGGGATTGTACGCATCTGTTAATGTAGCGAAGCATTTAGCTAGGCATTTATAGCCCTAGGAGGGTTACCTAAAGGCAGATTATTTTATTTCGATTATCGTACTATTATACAGGCCCAGAAAGTCCTAGAAAAGCTACTATACGCAAATGCGAAAGATCATTTCATTTTAATTCGCGAGCTGAGGCTTATACTAGTATTTTATATAAACGATAAATCATTCCATTATAAGTGAACGGGGCAGAAGCATTATATCTCCAAAAACTAAAAAGCGAAGGGAATAAGAGAAATTTGATAAATGCACTACCCCAATCGTTGCTGTAAATTTAGTCTTTTACAAAGTAGCTACGTGTGTACGGAATCGTAAATTAAGAATAATTTCTTTACATTTTCTATTATCTGTTTCTTCACATTAAACTTATTAAATAATACATGTACACTTACACTACTCTTGCTATATATGTATATGAGGAACTTCATACTGTAATAGTCCTACTACATCATAACGCCAATACCAATAAAGTTATAAAACTCTTGCATACTTTATGTTTTTCGGACACAGTAATGTTTCGTTTAAGCATACCTCATTTTTAAAAAAAGATTACAGCATTCAAGGATAGGGTAGTAATATTTATGAGATTGCCCTCAACTTTATTTGGACATTGCAGCTTAAATAAAGTATAATAAAAATTTAAAACTCTGTCAGTTTCACTTCTTGGTTCCCATCAACTCTAAAGCGATATCGCTAAACTTTTTAGCTTTTTCTTGATCAGCTTCTATCCCGTCTCCTGTTTTGTATGCTTTACTAGCATTCATGCATCCCCATAAATGACCAAGATTGCAACTTTTGACACCTAATTCTACCGCTTTTTCCATATCGCGAGGAATTTCCTTCTCTCTACCAGTTAGATACAGAATACTTTGGTTAAAACATCCGTTTGCAAAGTCGTCTTTACAAGCTTTCTCAAATAATGCTTCCGCTCTTTTCACATCTTTTGGACTTTTTTCTGTACCATGTTGCAATATGAGTCCAGCATTATTACACGCACCAGAAATATTAGCTTCACACGCCATTAAGAAGTACTTGAGAGCTTTATCAGGATCTTTACCACCAGTGAATTCTGGTTAAGATAACATAATGACAATTCCATGCGTAAGATATCAGTTGCATGAAAATTTAAAGTCTAAAGTTGATATTTCTTCTATTGTTAGATATATATTATTGGTATTCCTGCACTAGTGCTTACGTTCACTATTAAATAACCTACCTCTTTTCTGCATGTAATACATTCCCAATGCAAAACAGCTTGGCATGTAACACATTTCAAGGCATGTTTTTTTAAACTGATGGAATGCCTTCTCTTCCTGTTTTTCAAAATTTTGATAAAGCTCTGCAAGTTGATGGCATGCTGTAATAAACATTAAAGAATTCAATTAAGGTGAAATTAACAGTCATATTTCTAGTCTACTAGAGCTAATGGCACGATAGTTTCATTGTTAAATTAGTAAATGATATTTTGGTTTGTGCTACTTTTGCAGCAGTACATGGTTTCACTATTTTAATGTAAGTATACTCTACGTACATTTTACATATGTTGTGAGTATATAAAACTGTTAAACGCGCTATGTATTTCTCATAGAACAAGATCATAACCAAACTTTTAAGATCTAAATTATTCGCATAAGCTACCGTGCTTCATTTACTATTATTGCTTGTTTTGAAAAATGATATGATTTTGCTTCATCATCTGATGACTATTTAGTTGTATTTTTATTTCACTACGCTTGTGAGTACAATTGGAATATTAAACGTAGGCAGGCTGTATTACGTTTGTATTCGTGCTTGCTGCAGATGCCCTTATTTATCATCTGATTCCTACCTAGTTGCATTGGTATTGTCTAGGTTTGTTATTAACTCACTTATCATTATAACCCTAGACTTGACTATGCTTTTGTCCATGCTTGCTGCAAGATATGACTCTACTTCGTCACTTAATAACTGCAGTGCTTGTATACCACTATACTTATCATCTATTAGTGTACAAGTACAATCTTCAAGATGATTCAATTTCATCATTGAAAGACCGCTTAGCTGTACCGTATTTGTATAGTCTACTCTTACCGTTAACTTGCAATAATTTGTAATCTTCCACTGCGGACTTAGTTACACTATTATCTACGCTTGTAGTAGGGTGACATGGTAAATCTACAATACTTTATCCTTAGATGATTGACTACTCCGTGGGTAGTTCTATTTGCTTACGTCAATTGTCTACTCACATACTTAGCCAATATCTCATTCAGCCATCGCTAGCAAGAATGAATGGCCATGGGCAAAGAGCAATGCAAGCCAATACAAACAGCACTTATAACTAGGTTTTCTTATCAACGAAACATTCTTCTTTCAATAAGCTCTCGATGACTCAATTTCATCATTGAACGACTGTTTACCAAGTGCTAAGCTTTACAGTATTATTTACATTGGCTAAAGTTACCGTTAACTTGTCATCATTTGTAATCTCCAGCCGCAGACTTAGTTATATTCTTGCTGCAGGATGGCATGATTCTACTGTATCCTTTGATGACTAACAGCTACGTGGTTAGTTCTACTAGCTTACGTCAATCGTCCACTCGCATACTCAGTCCATATGTCATTTAGCAATCATTAGCAAGAATAAATGACAATGGATAAAGAGTAATACAAGCCAATACAAGCAGCATTTACATCTCGGTTTTCTTATCAACGAAGCATTCTTTTTTTAATAACCTCTCGATGATTCAATTTCAACATTGAACGATTGCTTACCAAGTACTTAGCTGTACAGTATTTGCGTTGCCTAAGCCTAACGTTAACTCGTTATCATTTGTAATCTTTCACCGCAGATTTAGTTATACTACTATCTATACTTGCTGCAGGATGACATGATTCTACTTAAGTTTTTAATAACTAGCTACTGTGTGGTTAGTTCTATTTGCTTACGCCAATCATCTACTTGCACACTTTGCTTACATTTCATTTAGCAATCATTAGCAAGAATGAACGCCAATGGACTAACAGCAATGCAAGCCAATACAAGCACTACTTACATCTAGGTTTATTATCAACGAAGCATTCTTCTTTTAATAAGCTCTGTAGATTTGCCTTAAATTCTTTACCAGCTTCATCTTCCACAGACATGGCCTATGATTCATAACAACGCAGAGGTACTAATGGACATAGATGGCCATGGCATGGTCTCTTCAGCTTCTTCCTCTCCTCAGCAATTACGTTGCATGGTTACTATGAGGCAGGTCACCCTATCTGAATAATTGAGTGATCGATGGACAGATTCGCGTGGACACTACAGTCAAAAACCACTATCGTATCCTGCTGTCTGATATAGTATACTGTAGGCTCTAGCTAGAAGAAAGTAGTCGACTGTATTCTATACTCAGTATAGTATACTGTTCCAAATAGTCTGATAGCTACACCATCTTCTATAGGGTGCGTGTTAAGCCGGTGAATTGCAATTACAGTACGATCGGTACAGTGTACAGTATACTGCACTGTACATTGTACAGTACTGTACAACTTCTTGTCCATCCGTCAGTCCGATACATGACACCTCATAGTGTGCGTGCCACAAGCTGCAGTTGACGCAGATGCACCAAGCCACCACAAGCTCTTGCTCATGCTTTCAATCGATCTCATGCCGGCCATCATGGTGGTTAAAGGTTGGACTCGTTGTACTCAAGACGAGAAATCTCATTAATATTTTCTGCTTTGATCAGATTGATTTTCCCAAGGATAAGAACACACTATAGGTGCAGCTATTAAAGATTCTGATTGGAAATTTGTAATTGACGGTAAGGAGTAAACTATATCGTAGTGATCAATTGCTCGACCTGATGGATGGATCGCTGTGTACAAAATGCTTGCTAAAAGTAGTCATACTGTAATCAACTCCCTTGCCTTTTTCTATCCTAAGGTGAATCGATAAAATATGGCGAATTGGTCCAATAACACAGTACCGATTAAACGACCATTAGCTGTTCGCTTTTCAACTTATACGAGCGAGGATATCCGTAAATTAAGCGTTAAACAAATTACCAATGTGCATACTTTTGATCGATTAATGAATGCAAATCATGGTGGTCTATGCGATCCAGCATTAGGCCCAATTGAAACGTTAAGCCCATGTAGTACCTGTGGGCAAATTATGGATTATTGTCCTGGTCATTTTGGCCATATTGATCTGCATTTACCTGTCTATCATCCGTTATTCTTTAAGCACATGCTAATGCTGCTGAAAGGGATGTGCTTTCAGTGCCATCATTTACATGGTACACCTGCAGCTTTAAATCTTTTCGTCTGCCAATTGAAATTACTCGAGTATGGATTACTGACTAAATGCTATGAATTACCTGATATTGCTGATGCAGTGGCTAATACTCTTAGCAGCAGTGAAGACATGAGCTTTCAACAAATCCAAAAAGGTATCATTCATGCCATCAATGCAGAAGTTCAACATGCTCTTGCCAATATACCATTGCAAGACAAGAAAAATACCTCCAAATGGACTTATAGTAAAAATGTAACTCAATGTCGTAAATTGATTTTACATCAATTTTTTCATTATTGTATCTCACATGGATCGAAGAAATGTAACCGTTGTAAAGGTCCACCCCATATTATTCGAGCACAGCACCATGCTAAGGTATTCTATAAACAACGTGTAAAATCGTCCAATGCGATGACATTAACAACCGTGTCCAAGGATAAGACGGTATCAAGTAAGAAAAAGAATCAAAGTAACCGTGACGATGAGGAAGATGATGATGAGAATGGTCAATCGAAAGTAAATTGGCAAGGTTATGACAATGAGAGTAAAAATAATTCCAAGGCTGATCAGGAAGATGATGATGACCAGGAAGATTATGATAAAACTATTGATTTTCAGGAATTAGTTGAAAATACAGAATCGGGTAATTTAGTACATCAGGTCACAAGTAATCTATCAAATGACAGTATTGATCAAGGAAAGAATACCGAAATGGAGAGCGAATATTCATTAGCTCGTCAAAAATATATGCATCCTATTGAAGTTCGTTATCATTTACGCCAACTATGGAAGAATGAGAAACGCATATTAACGCTAGTCTTTGGCACATTTAATAAACTTACCTCCAACAGACGTATAGCAAATGAAAATTCTTTCTTCTTGGATGTCATCCCAGTCCCACCAACACGATTTAGGCCTGTAAGTAGAATCAGTTATTATAATAGGATCTTTTAAATAATTTATGTATCATGCTACTTGTATATAAAATAGTCAATAATTACATAGTTACATTCTTGTGGCCTTGAATTAAATTATACTGCAGTCCACATTTAGGAGTAACAAGTTAATAATGGTATATTACTAGATACGGAAATTATAGCGTTGTAATAAAATAGAACTCATTTTTACCCTTGTTTGATTCTCTATTATCATCTTGAACTTGACAGGTTTCAACATTAGGTGATAGTCGTTTTGAAAGCCCTCAAACTACCAACTTAAATAAAATTTTAGAAGATAATGTCGTTGTAGAAGATTTAATTGATAATCTAAAACAAGAAGAGAATAAAAATGTCAACGATCACGACGTTAAGGTGAAATCTTATTACTTTGGTGGTAGATCAATCAAGATAGCAGGCAGTACACCTACAGCTCGATTACACAATGCTTGGCTTCGATTACAAACGCACGTTAACTGTTTTGTGGACAGCGATTTAGATAAATTATCATCTGATAAGGCACCTGGTATTAAGCAAATACTTGAAAAGAAAGAAGGTTTATTAAGGAAGCATATGATGGGTAAAAGAGTGAATTTTGCTGCTCGATCAGTAATTTCGCCTGATCTTTCAATTAATTGCGATGAAGTTGGAGTTCCTGAGGTATTTGCTACAAAATTGACCTATTGTCAACCTGTTACACCATTTAATGTTAGACAGTTGAGAAATGCCGTCATCAATGGGCCTAATAAGCATCCCGGTGCAACTCTTATTGAATTTGAAGATGGTAATATTAAGAAAATTAGTCAACACAGTTTCAATCAACGCCAAGCCTTAGCAAAGCAATTATTAACTCCAAATACGTCCCATGTTGGTCAATGTAAAAAAGTTCATCGTCATCTTGTTGATGGTGATGTGGTATTAATGAATCGCCAGCCTACGTTACATCGTCCTAGTATAATGGCACATAAGGTTAGAGTTTTGCCAGGTGAGAAAACTCTACGATTACATTACGCTAATTGTAAATGCTATAATGCTGATTTTGATGGTGACGAAATGAATATGCATGTTCCACAATCCGAATTATCACGTGCTGAAGCTTATACTATTGCAAGTACTAAATATCAGTATCTCCTACCTAAAGATGGTAAGCCAATAAGTGGTTTGATACAAGATCATATGGTATCCTCTGTGAAGTTAATGATTCGTGGTCGAATGTTTACAAAAGAGCAATATTTTCAGCTTATTTATTTCGCATTAACTGATAAAGATGGTCCGATACATTTATTACCACCTTGTATTATAAAGCCACGTCAGTTATGGTCTGGTAAGCAAGTTTTATCAACTCTCCTTCTCAATATCTTACCCAAGAATAGTACACCTTTAAATATGTTGGGCAAATCAAAAATTGCCGATAAAAGTTGGGTGAATACACGTATGAAAAAGAAATCGCGCTATTATAAACCGTTATATGATGAAATTTTATCCGAATCTCAAGTTGTTATTCGACAAGGAGAATTGTTATGTGGAATCTTAGACAAAGCTCATTTTGGCGCCACATCTTACGGTTTAGTTCATTGTTGTTATGAATTATATGGCGGCGATACTTCGACTACTTTCCTATCAAGCGTATCAAAGCTACTTACTAAATTTTTACAAATGAATGGTTTTACCTTAGGTATTGAAGATATTTTAGTTCGACAAGATGCAGATAATTTGCGTCAACAATTTATCAAAGACTGTGCATCATCCGGTAATAAAATTGCTAAGGAAGCGTTTAATGTTAACAGTAAATCGCTTGTCCAAGAAAAGTTTTGTCAAGCTCATCTTAAAAATAAAGATTTATTGGCAGAATTAGAAAGCCATATGAAACGTAACACTGATCATTTTACCAATGAAATTAATAAAGCATGTACTGGCGCTGGACTACTTAAACTATTTCCGGAAAACAACTTGCAATTAATGGTCCAATCCGGTGCTAAGGGTTCAACGGTTAATTGTATGCAAATTTCTTGCTTGCTTGGTCAAATTGAGCTCGAAGGGAAACGGCCACCATTAATGATTAGTGGACGTTCGTTGCCAAGTTTTACTCCCTACGACACAAGCCCAAGAGCTGGTGGATTTGTTGATAATCGCTTCTTGTCTGGTTTACGACCACAAGAATATTTTTTTCATTGTATGGCTGGAAGAGAAGGATTAGTTGATACTGCTGTGAAAACCAGTCGAAGTGGCTATTTACAGCGTTGTTTAGTTAAGCACTTAGAGGGACTAGTTGTTCAATATGATCTAACTGTCCGCGATACCGATGGTTCTGTAATTCAGTTTCAATATGGAGAAGATTCTGTCGATGTCACCAATACACAGTTTTTATCCACAGTACATTACCCATTTATGGCAAATAATTATATCAGTATGCTTGATAAGCTAGATTTTAAAGCAGTTATGGAATCAGATTTTATCAATAGAAAGAAGGCTGTTCGAAGTTACAAAAAATTAGCGAAATGGTTCCAAAAACGCAACTTAAAGATAGATGACTTACCGCCTTTACGTCAGTTATATTCCACGTCTGCAGTACAAGAGTTCGAATTTTCTAACTTAGGACAAAAAATAAGAAAAGATTATAAATCGAATGTATTAGACAAAACTACTGGGTTATCAACTGCTACGACTGCTATTATTAATGGATGGAAGAAACTTGATTCTTCGATTAAAGAAAAATTTTGTAAGTCAGGTTCAACATGTCCAGACCCTGTTAATTGCAGATTAAAACCGGATAGATATTTTGGTAGTGTATCAGAGAAGCAATGGAAGGAGCTTGAGTTGTTCTTAGCGCAATATGAGAATGGTATCCCAACATCGAGAAACAATGATTATGTACCTTGCGATAACTTTCGTAAAATGATGCATCTAAAATTTATGCGTGCTTTAGTGGAGCCCGGATGTCCTGTAGGTTTGCTTGCTGCTCAATCGATAGGCGAGCCATCCACTCAGATGACATTAAATACATTCCATTTTGCTGGTCGAGGGGAAATGAATGTTACATTAGGAATTCCAAGATTAAGAGAAATTTTAATGGTTGGTAGTCCAAATATTAAAACACCTTCCATGATTGTTATACTCAAGAAGAATAAGGATACTGACAAGAATGCTAAATATCTGAAGAAACATTTCACACGAGTAACCTTATCACAAGTAAATTCTAATTTTCTATTTATGCTGCTTTTATACCATGTTTACGTTTATGTGCTTACATGGTAAAGATAGAATTTGCTTTTACAAAGTAATAACTCGAGTTAGAAAGTTTCTCAATTCAGTTTTCGGATAAAATGGAGTGAAATTCTTTAACAATAATAATTGCAAATTCGCTTATAATCCCGCAGGTACTGGAAAATGTTGATGTATCCGCTTCAATTCGAAAACGAAAAACATCTGACGATGAAAAAACTAAAGATGCTTCAGTAACGTAAGCCAGTATATTTGCTGTTTTAGTGGATAATTCTGTCTCTTAAGGGTTGATTATCTAATTTATTATTTTAGTGAATTTCAACGGTACTATTCCGTGCGAATGAATCTGTTGCCCTATAAGGACTATAAGGTATTTGATAACTACAGTTATAATCATATATATATATATATATATATAATCTATGAATTTTGCACTTTTTTACCGATTCATATTTGAAATACAGGATGAATTTGCTATCAAGCCTGCGCGAGTTATAAAATTTATCGAAGATGTCTTTATTCTGCATTTCATAAAATCGGTTGAGAAAGTCATTAAAGCAAGCAAAAGTAACAAGTAGGTTACGGGGAATTGCTAACCCTGCACTGCACTACTGGCTATCTATTTCTGATTGTAATATTCTTTACTCTAATTTATTATTCAGGGTTATTAATCTAAATAAATTGGGACGATTCCGAAAATTCCGTGATGTTCATGATGACGGTAATAACTCTGTTTAAGACTATGATTTTAAAAATAGTTTATGTAAAGGGCTAATGTATAAATGGTATATTACCTACTAGCTAAAGAAAAAAGTAAAGAATCAACTCAAGATGAGGAGACAACATATGACGATCAATTAACAAATAACCCTAATCAGTTGAACCATAAGAGTAATAAAGTAAAGGTATATTTGTCATACCAAGCATAGTATAATCGTCAAGTAAGTTACAGCCGTATTTTGAGTTGATTGGATTGTTTTAATCTTATTTTTTTACAGAAGTTATCTTATGATGATAATACTGATGGTGAGTTTAAACTTTAGTAAATGTTTTATTTACTTATTAAATTTAGTGTTCGAAGGTACAGTACAACTTTAGTTAATCAAATATACTTTCTGATTTATCAGTTATTTAATGTCGGTGTTTACTGATGCTTTCGTTGCGTAATCATTGTAGATGAAACCGAAGATTCGAGTTCCCAATCTGACGATAATGATGACGGCTCAGAATTATACTCAAATCAAAGCCAAAACTCTAATGAATTCAGTATGCACATTTTTGATTGTGAAATTACGCGGAGTATAGCAATTTTATCTAATATTAATAATTTTAGATGAAGAACCGCATGTACTAGAGCCGGATATAACCGACGAAGATAAAGAGAATGTAAGTAAATTTTTTGACGAATAGACTTTGGTTTTTGTAAGCGTAGCAATAAATTTTTTCATTTTTTCAATTTGAAGACTGTATCTGCTATCCATCAGAGAATTGTAGCAAATTCTCATGATGTACAAAATAAACGATGGTATGAGTTTACGTTTACGGTAAGGCTAAATACTTGTCGAAAACGTGACAATAAAGCCTTTTACGTTGTTAAATAGAGTCTGCAAAGCATGTGATATCCCCATTTCAAGGTAATATTTTTAACTTTGTAATTAGACATCCTTGAGTGAAGGCAAGATAATTTTAGAACCTATTATTGAGCAATTGGCTAAGCAGGTTTGACCTGAATAGATTTTTTATCTATGTGATAAGTATACCAACCGTAAATAATTGTTTGCGTGGATATTGATGTAGGCAACTATTCGGGAAGTTCAATCAGTTAAGAAGTGCTATATTAATAAAGATAAAAATGAAACCGTGACACTGACTACCGATGGAGTCAATTTACAGGTAATGTTTTGAAATATTGAAGAATTTTCATGTTTCGGATACTAAAATAACAATGACGCCACTACACAATATTCCTTTCAGAATGTGCTGTTAAATATCATATGGTGTAGAAATATATTTATCTACCTCCTGAGTTTTTCGGCGCTTTCCGTTTAAGCATAACTATCTTTATTTCGTTTGTCATAATATTCTTATAACGTAAGGCATTATTTGTGAACAAAACTATTAGGATACTTGGCAATTTGCTAATATCATAGATGTTAATAAACTTTACACCAATGAAATTCATGCGATGGCGTCTACATATGGCATCGAAGCTGCGTATAGAGCGATCATTAAGGTACTTAGTGCTGTCTTTATAGTCATCTGGCTTTCTGAGCTTAGTCATTGCTCACAATTCTAACTTAGTTATTAGCACTGCTTGAATTATTGTGTTGATTTAGTTTGAAAAGTATGATAAATTAAATCAGGGTCTACCATTTATCTAACTATTAATGCTGTTTATTTGTACTTACATATGCTTATATTAACGTTTATGTTTAGGAAATTGAAAATGTATTTCGAGTGTACGGCATTGACGTAAATTATCGTCATCTCTCCCTCATTGCTGATTATATGACCTATGAAGGTAGTTATAGGCCACTAAATCGACTTGGAATGGCATCTTGCTCTTCTCCGTTTCAAAAAATGAGTTTTGAAACGACCGTTCACTTCTTGCGAGAAGCAACAGCTCATGGAGAGATTGATGTATTAAAATCTCCTTCTTCACGATTGGTAACTGGACGAGTGGTTAATGGGGGAACTGGCTGTTTTGATTTAGTTCAACCTCTTTCTTACGGCTAAGTTTAAACTTTGAAGGGACTATTTACCTAATGTATATGAATATGCTGTCGTATCTGCTATGATTTTCTTAGTATTTTGTACTTAGTATAATTCTTGTAAATATCTAATCTCTGTATTTACTGCCTCACTTTTTAAATGATGCTGATATTTATGTGAAGAAACTTAAAATAATACTGATTTTAAAAGTACATCCCTTCATACTTAAGAATTGTTTTTAGTCAAGGTTGTAGGTGTTTAGAGTATCTAAGAAAAGGGATACCTCATCAAAGTTGTTAGATTTAGTATATTAACTGAGAAAGCATAAATAAAGCTACTGGATAGATGACTGATATTGTCTTCACGTCAAAATATTTGAGCATTAATCTCAGGATCTGTAAAGAATTGACTAATTGACTACCCTGATAAGTACTAAATTTATAGACCGACGTAATGGTAATCATTGATAATTATAACTAATGGAATTGGCGATATGATCTTTTATAGCTGATAGTTAATTACAAAACATTCTTTTATGGACGCATACACACTTTCGATCGAGTGCGTATGAATGATGTCACCTAATTGTTCTATCAGATGTTGCAAAATTATTTAACTAAAATCCTAAACGTAACCTATTTGAGATGTCAATTTGTAATAAAGTGCTAAATTCTATCAGTGAAACATAAACGCATATGTTGAGGTGTGGCTATTTACTAAAAATATATTTCATATATCCATTTACCTTGGTAGAGGACATGTTCATTTCGATTGAATAGTCGTAAGTTTACGCTATATACACATCTAATTTTCCGAGTTGTAAATGTTTGGATTAAATTAATCTCCGTGATAATAAGGTTAATGTTACCGACAGTCGATTATGAAATGCTAAATAAGATTTTATATATCTCGTGATAAATTTGGCGTTAGAAGTGCTCGCTCTCCTTAAAGCGTTCAATTTGTTTCTATGTTTATGCATGACGTACGCGATTACTCATAGAATGACTAGATACAGCTCCGTTATTCGGTAATTCGAGCAGTATTGTTAGTGATCTTTATTCAGAAATTTATTAATGCTCTGTGAGGTTGATAGATCAAGAATCTTCAAAACTTTAGAAAATTAAGATTTATAGAACAAAACCTCGCTTACGAAGATACAACTTAATCGATTAGCTGAGGACCTCTAACGAGAAAGAACTGTCTTACTATACTAAACTACTCTCTTATATACTGTACTTTTCCGCTTTTACAGTCTTAGCACCTTACTTACTACACACTTCAGTATTAGCATCTCAAATACAGGATAGTTTACACCTTTCATGTGAAGCTCTAGTGTGAGCTCTGTAGCGCTCCTCTTCAAAAGGATTACAGTTACTAAGCTAGCTATATTTAATACTTAAGCCTCTAACGAGAATATCTATCACATGTTGAACACAATACCTATGGTAGACATTACTAAATATATCATCAACTTAGAATACAATATTACACTGTCTTACATGATCCTACCATAGTACATTCATACATGGTGAAATAGCTGCGTAAGTTTATTTACAGCAGCTTCTAGTATTTAGAGATTAGTGATTGAATTAGAATATTGACAGTTTCATCCGATCTATCTAAATATAATATGCAAGTACAATAGTTGACTTTGCTGTCTCCATTGAGCTGAAGTTTCATGTAAAACCAATTTGATAGGATATTATGCTTTTTAGGAAAGCTAAATATTGATAGCCTCGTGCCGTCTGCCTTGTAGTATTATGCAAGTAGAATAATTGGTTATACTGCCCTTCACTAATATGAAAATCATCATGTAAACTAAATCTTAGAAAAGCTTTAATTTAAGCTAGATAATTACGAGTACTTAAAACAAATTGTTAAAACAGTTTAGCTTTAATATGCTAACTAAAAGATTAAAACATGAGAATTTTTATTTCCAACAGTTGTGCAGTCAATGTATTCTTTTATTTTTTGCAGCATCTATGATATTCTAATTTACCTATAATAAAGGAGTCAATCATATCTCTCAAACTGTGAATAACTAATGAGCGTTATCCGTTGAATATTTGCTATTTGTGTTATCATTTTAAACGATGACGTCGAGATGACGAAAGAAAATATGAAACAAATAGGCTAAAGAAATAGATAGTAGTTACATTCTAAATAAAATTTATTAAAATTAATTATGTTCTTAACATCTAGATTAGATGACTATTGATTATATGATCAAGCAATCAATTAATCAAAATATATCGGCACCATATGCTTGAATTTCTTACTGGTATGTTCATTTAATGCTAGTTGTCCTACTTTTCTCTCAAAGTCAATCAATCCAATAGGATGATAAGTATACATTGATCATGCAATAACGAATGATGATCAGGAGAATACGAAGTATATTAACTCATATCATGCCATCTCACACTGATACTGCATCTAAATTAGCATTAAATTTGCTACAAATTAACTGAGAAGTAAATAGCCATGTAAAATATTAGGTAAGAATATCAATCAACGATAGGATAAACTTTGCTACGGTTATTGCCACGAATAATGATGAGTATATTATTTATCAACCTATAAAAGTTGGTTAATAATTTATCCATCTATTAATCATTATATTCGGATGTTGCAGCTGTCATGAAATAATGACTTTCATTTGATATATCTACTGGATCTATACAGTACTGCAGCTTATTACCACCGATATGTCTAAAAGAATTTTGAAATACACTTCATACCGGTGTAACAGTCCAAACTATACCCTCAGTCTAGAATATACCGATATTTAATAAATTTTTCATCAAAGTATGATTAAGAGTCGGAAGTTTCAATTTATTAACTAGAAATTTAATATAGTGAGACCTAGATAAAAAAATCTTTGAAATTAAATTTTAAAATCCTACATCTATTGTACAATTAAATTTATCTGATATTTTGAAAAAAAGTATTTACAATAATGATATTTTAAATTTGAATACTGAAGAGTATAAAAGTGCGCATTAAATTACAATGATAACATAAAGTGTAATTTATTGACGGCTATATACTTCTAGTTCTAATACTCGTACACCGATATCCGACAGCTGTAAAGTCAATGGTACATAGCCGAGATGTTCTAATTGAGGTCAATATTTATAACATTGATAAAGTATAAATATGCACGTGTTAACATAACAACCTAAAAGATCTTCCCAATAAAATTCTTCATTAAAAACCATCTGCAATAAGGCTATTTATAGACTACAGAAAAAATAATTTTCGAATCTTTACCGGATCGTTTATAGAATACCCGCCTTCATAATGATTTTGCTAATAGAGACTATTCTGAAATAGCCTTCCCAATAGGTTCCAAATTGAGAGTCATGTAATCAATTTTAATGCATGCGTATGTGTTGTATATATATACACTTATATAAGAAGTTTCTCATTAATATAAGTTAGTCGACTTAAATTTACAATGACTAATAGGAACTGAACTATTCAGCCATTTAGGTTTGCAGTTGATTTGGTCGCAATTCGTGATATCGATCACTAGAAATGTATCAATTTGATTCCACTAACATTAAACAATATATATTCTATAGCTATAACGTTGTCATTATTACTGTCCTATAGAACTTTTTGGCATGCTTAATTAAACAAATATGTAATCCTAGGACTAATTTTAATGTTATAGCGTAGACAAGTTATTCAAATACTATCTAATTACCTTCCACTAAGTTTATTAAAAGGCAGCAAGTTGTTGATACAAATGGAATTCATACAATAATTTTAATCAGCTTTTGAATTCATCTTGTGCCAGATTACCAACATCTGCTTTCTCTAAATATCTACAATAGGACCTGAATAATTGATAAGAATCTAGTCTAGTGCTATAGTTATTAATTTATGTACAGTATAGATAACGAGTTTTAAAGTTAGATAGACGTAGTTTTTACACTCTTATTGTAACAGTTGCTATTCTTAAGGCCGATGATTCGATACATTATTAGGTTTTGATTAGAATAGGATTAGATCGGCACATGCGATCTTGCTGTGTCGGCAAACATGCAACACTACCGAGTTAAGGTCATGCAATATTTTAGTCTTAATTGGTATAAGATTAGCATTGGATACATTAAATGTCGTTGTATAGCTGTAAATTAGTGCGTAAATTATTTAATTTTGGTGTCAAAAGGTAGTTCACTTTATTCAGATCTTGTTTTAAACATCGGGATAATCGGCAATCAATCCCTATCCCTAATATTACATTTGTTTAACATGCTGATGACCAATTTTACTAAGCCAAAATTTGACTCTGGTCACATCTAATGGCCATAGTAAAGCACTTAAAAGGTTAATCATGTAAGCTATTCCAGTCTTTTATTTATAATTTTAAAGCATTCAATAATCTATTTGATTAGGACAGTAAGGAATGGGCAGTTTAAAGGAAAGAAGCATTTGACAATGTTGCCATTATGCGATTAAAATTGGCTAAAAATAGGAAATGCAAGATCGACTGTCAATAGAAGTGAGGGCTACAAAGGTAATAAATAATACTAATTGGGTCAGTCATATTTAGGCTAGATCCAGACAAATTTATATGCAAATTTGCTTCAGATGGCTTTAATTAATATTATCGACACGATGATGTAATCGTCAACGATATGAACCCGTCAATACAAGGAAAAATTGTCCGACACATTGAAGAGACTACGTTGTGTTAATTAATGACCCTTTCATGCCGTTTTCATAGATCCAATTCATAATTGATGTTTTCATACTTTATGATAGATTTTCCGAACTAAAGTGATACAAGATCGATGGGAATGGAAGATAAGGAGCGGAAGAAGGAGAGATAAATTGCATTAGTAAACCAGGCTATAATACTAGATAATAGAATTATTATAGAAAATTAATAAATCTATGGTTTGATCTGTAATGTCTGGACTAGGTAGGACCACTGTTATTATTCCAATACACAAATTTGTACATATAGAGAGTAATGGGAAAACATGGATGAAACAATCGGCAATAGTTCA